GCTTTGTCTTCAGCAGTTGTGTCGGGAAGGTGAGCATCATGGAATGCCAATTTAATAGAAGAAAGTATTCTTGCATTGAGTGATCTATGTGCCTACATTTATAGGTTTAGCAAAAGGACATCAGGCCTCCATTCAAGTACTTTATTATTTTTGCTAGTGGTTTTTATAATTCTGTTTCCTCTGCCTGGTTTTTCAAAAATACAGGTATACCTTGCTTTATTGAGCTTTGCTTTATTGCTCTTCACAGATGCTACCTTTCTCAAAAATGGAAAGTTTTGCAGCAATCCTACATCAAGCAAGTCTGTCAGCACCATTTTCCCATTAGTATGTGCTCACTCATGTCTCTGTCAGTTTGATAACTCACACAATATTGCAAGCTTTTTGTTTTTTGCACACTTAATAGACTACCATATAGAGTAACATTTTTTTTTAGAGTAACTTTTATGTGTGCTGGGAAACCCCAAAAATTGTATGACTTTCTTTGGTGATATTCCCTTTACTGTGGCATCTGGAACTGAAGCTGTACTCTCCCTGAAGAATGCCTGTAGCCATCTTTCCAATAAAATCAAGGAAGACAAGGAAGGAGTCTTGTTGCCCAAATATCAATTGTTGGGCATAACATTTAGTATTTGAAGAAAGATGCACAAGAATATAGGATGAAATCACTAACTTTGTAGGAAGAGAAGGTAACAAGCACACCTGGGGACTAAAATGAAATACTATCAATGGAAGATGAGAAATAGCTTAGAAATAATAGGCTCTAAGAAAGCTAAACTAGAAATTACTTTGTCTAAAGAAGGAAAATAAGAAGGCGGATGTAATTATTATCAATTGTATAAACAACATGAGCAATTGTGTTTCATCTCTACCAAGAACCAAACAGGAAATGTGTTCAGATTGTTGTTAGTTTACTTTAGACATTAGAAAACTACCGATTAAAAGATGACAACAAAATGCACCTGAAATGGAAAATGTGCTTGGTTGGCACAGGGCTGCTGTGGTAGCCTGTGCTCACTCCCCTTAGCACCCAGGAACCGAATCCCTTATTTTCAGCTGGGCACATGACCTCAGAAATAAAGAATGCATTTGCCATGACCGAGTTTGGCCAACATGATGTCAAAAAAAGTGTCCTTGAAGTTTGTCAGGGGAAAAGTTAGGGAGGGAGTCCCGTTTTCCCTTTTCCTTCTTCTGGCTGGGTAAAATGCATATAAAATAGCTTGAGGTCAAGCCATGTCCTTAGACCAGGAGATGAAAGATACAGGTTAAAGATGGGGAGCAACAAGAGAGAGGGAGCCTGGGTTTGGGATGATTGTGACGATGTCCCTAATTGTTTATCTCTTGACTTTGTTTATATAAGAAAAATAAATAAATATATATATATATTTTAAGCTACTGTGATTTGGAGTTTTCTATCCTTAGGAACCTCTCCTAATTCTAAGTGATATATCTTTAAAACCAACCATTAACTCTTCTTAGCAACTTTTTTAAAATGCGAGTTTAGATTGTGTTAAGGTTTGTACGAGCCCCCAATAATTTTTTTTTTAATGCAAGTTTACTAATAAGAATGAAGTTCTTTGGGGAGGATAAGATTTAGCTTATCATAGTTCAAAGGCAGTGTTCTCTATCATCAAAACATTCTGTTTATGCTGATCTGAGATTATACATATTTTTCATATTTTAGGTTTGAGAATTATTTTCACACAGATAGGCATTGCCAAACACTGTAGTTCATGAGCATATGATTTTATTAACTACTTGGAAGGTATGTATCAAGTTCGGTTAGACTTTTCTCTTGATATTTGCCTCTTGGCATCTCATTACATTACAAATGAATCGTTTCCAATAGGCGGAGAAGTGGAAACTCCACAATTGCATAGTTAGTGGCAATTGAATTTTTAAAAATTGTGTTGTGTTAGGCTGGGTCTTCTAGTGAAGCAAAACCAGTGAGTTTATACATGTATATACACAGAAAGATTTATCTAAATTAAGTGGTTTACTCAGTTGCAGAGGCCTGGGAGTTCCAAGTCCTGGGGTCAGATGTCAGGCTGGAGGTGTCTCCTGTCTCACATGGCTGCAGGGGTTGAAGAACCCAAGATTGACAGGGCAGACAGCAGGCTGGTCGCTGCAGAGGCAAATTAATCCATGATCAGAAGGTAATGCAGCAAGATCAGGAGGCCACTGGCTCAAGACCAAAGGACCAGAGGGTAGATAATGAGCCAGATGCAGGATCCACATCCAGCAAAAGCAAGCCAGATTTCCCAGCGTATCCACGTATAAGGGAGCTTCAAAATGTGCGTGGGAAACTTCCATTGTCTTTTAGTTCCATTTTCCATGCTAGTCAAACATTGGGAAAATCTAATGATGCAAACAAATGTGTGTGATATATCTTTATAGTGGAATACTACGTAACCAGTAAAAATAACCATATGAATCTATATTTATTGCCCAGGAAAGATTTTGTCTGGAAAGAAATGTTCTAAAATGTTATTAATCTACCTTTGGGCAGAAAGATTAGACTGTTTGGGGGGCAGGCATTGGGGGGGGGGCTCATGCGTATTTATTTACTGTACTTATCCAACAGTCAAAGAACCCTAATGGATCAATGGGTTAAGCAGTGGGCTGTTGACTGCAAAGTCAGCAGTTCAAACTCACTAGCTGGTCTTCTGGAGAAAGATGAGGCTGTCTGATCCCAAAAGATTTACCGTACCTGAAGTCCTAAGGAGTGGCTCTACTCTGTTCTACAGGGTGTCTCTAAGCCAGAATCAACTCAACTGCAGTGAGTGGTTTGGGTTGGTTATCTAGCAGTTAACACTGTCTGGCAGAAAATAGGCATGGCTCAAATAATCAATGAATGAATGAATGAATAAAGGCAGGAGAAATAGACTCCAGAGAATACTGAGAGGGGGAGATTTAGATGTGGTTGGCATGGCAAAGTCACACTATGTTCATAAAAAATAAAAATGACAAGGTGGACCTACAGAAGCACTTCCATGTAAATGGGAATCCCAAACCCAATAGACACCTTGCTGAGCTAAGCAGCACCCAACACAGTGTACCTGTCTTAGGGTACAAAGGAGACCCCCAAATCTCAAATATATTTTAAGAAGAATGTTATTAAGTCTTAATCAGGGCAAAGATAAAAGCAGACACATCATCTGGATGAGGAACATCATCAGCATGAAGTTATAATCTCATCCAAAGATTTATGCTAGACAGAAGAGTTTACAAGATTGATTCAGGGCCCTCCAAATAAAGCAGTCAGGTTATGACTCATGACCCTGCAGCCCTAGCACCCCCATTTCTATTTAGGTCATACCCTAAGGAGCACTGGTAGCACAGTGGTTATACGTTGTGCTGCTGACCCCAAGGTCAGCCACTCCTCCTATAGAGTCACTATGAGTGTGAATCAACTGGATCACAGTGGGTTTGAGTTTTGGAGACAATTTTAAGCAGACGGACTAAATGACCTGATATACATCATTAAAAGCGTGTCTGGCTTTTATGTGGACAATTCAGTAGGATCTGTTAGGACATTACTTCAAGGACCCAGCTGGTAGCTAGGATGAGATGAATTTGAGATATATTTTGGGGACAGAAGTAACTGAATTTACTGATGGGTTGGCCACTTCTCTCCTTGGACTGGTTAGGGGAGTGACAGTGATCAACTCTCTAATCCAGTCAGCCTGAGGGAAAGGCCATTCACACTGCTAGTAAAACAGAAAGAATCCAATGGAGGTTGAATTTATGTGAAGACTCATTTTGGGCTTTCACTGTAAACCCTAGCCGTATGAAAGCTTGGTGCTCAGAAATGAGGCTCTAATACAGACCATTCCCCATTCTTAAAGCACAATTTTCAGAATCCTCTAACTCTGTCCTCTCCAGTTTTTCTGTTTCGTTTTGTTTGCTTTCCATTTACTTCACTAGACTCTCCTTTTCAACTTCTTTTGAGAACTCAGCACCTCTTCCCCCTCTCTGAATGTCAATATTCTTCTAATGCTCAAAATTCTCCAAAATATGCCTCCAGCCTGGAGCTTTCTCTCCAAGCTCCAGGTTTATAAATAAAACTGCTTCCTTGACACTTCCACTGGATGTTTCATGAGCATTTCAAACTTCAGAAATGAAACTCTTGATTTCTTGTTTGAAAAACTCCTGTCCTCAGTAAAAACAAAATGCTGAAATAATCATTATCTCCTTTCTTTCTCTACTCCTTACCCCACATCTAACCCATCAGTAAATTTAGTTACTTCTATCCCTGAAATATATCTCAAACTCGTCTCTCCCCAGCCCCCACCTGGGTCCTATAGTAACTGCCAAACAGATCCTACTGAATTCTTCCCCACACAAAAGCCAGACACTTTTTTAATGATGTAAATCAGATCATAACACTGCCCTCTTAAAATTCTTCAGTCATCTCCCACAGTCCTTGAACAAAATTGAAACTTCTCACTTTTCTGGATCCTTGTATTCTTTTATTTAATTTAATTTATTTTTTATTTATTTTGTTTGTTTGTTTTTTATTTTTGATCCTTGTATTCTTTAAGGCATTCTTGGCCTACTACCTAGTAGCTGAGGCCCTGTCTCTAAAAATGTTTTAGACTGAGGAGAAAAAGAATTGGCTCCCCCAAATTGCAAATTGAAATTTCAATCCAACCTTTCTGTAGTAATCTACATGTTTTATTTGAATGTGGGATGTGGGTGGATATCCATTTGCTGGCTATAATATGGAGTGGGTCCCCCAAAGCCGGAGTGTATAGGATCGATAAGGGTTCCACTCTGTGCCTACCTCTTCCTGTTTCCAGCTGCTTACTCACAAACTCAGTCAGCCAGTCTTGCAAATTCCAAAATCTTTCCTTCCTCCAAGGCCTTTGCTCTTGCTGTTCCCTCCCTCCCCTCCCCACCCAATCCCACTCCTTTCCTGGCTGGCTCTTTCTTCCTTAGTTCTCAAGGTCCACTAAAGTAGCCCCCACCCCATCCTACCATCACCCCCTGTGTTCACTGCCTTCCTCCCTATCACTGCGCCCAACCTGTAGTTATTTTATTTTGGTTTATTCTATCACACCACACCCCCCTTTAAGCTAGTAATAAGGTCCATTAAAGCGGGAAACGTGTCCTTTTCTCTGCAGTATCCTTAGGATCTACTCCATTGCCCAATACAAACTGAACTCCAATAAATCGTTACGGAGTGAATGGGTAAATGAATAAAAACTTCATCTTCAAGAGAGGGGGTTGGCATGTGGTTGGCATGGCAAAGTCACACTATGTTCATAAAAAATAAAAATGACAAGGTGGACCTACAGAAGCACTTCCATGTAAATGGGAATCCCAAACCCAACAGACACCTTGCTGAGGGCCAAGCTGGACAGACTGGCCTTGGACTCCTTGAGAAGGTGATGGGCACTTGTCTTCTTTTGATTTTAGGCACTCAGATCACGTTTCAAACGAAATGCTTGGGGTTTTATCCCCCCAAGCCCTACACCCAGAGAAGTTCTGATACCAGCTCTCATAACTTACCCCACTGGCATGAGGCTGACAACCACTAGGCACAGCTGACTGCTGACTGTGTTGTTGTTGTTGTTGGGCGCCATCAGGGTGGCTCTGACTCAGTCACCCTGTGGACGGCAGAATGAATCACTGCCCGGGGCTGACCCGTCCGCACAGAGGTCATGTGTAAGCCCACTGTCGCAACCACTGTGTCATTTCATCTTGTCCTTTTCGCCGCCCTTCGACGTTACCAAGCACGTTGTCGCTCCTGGCGACATGTCCAAGTACGTGGGGCAAGTCTCACTAGAGGGCAGCTCAGGGAGCGGCTGGTGGTTTCGAACTCCTGACCTCGTGGGTAGCAGCCCCACACACAACCACTACGCCCCGCAGCGCGACCCTTTACGGCGTCTGCAGCGTCCCCTCCCCCAGACTCTAAAGTTCTAGCTCCTTCTGGTCTTCAAGTTAGAGCAAAAGGCCTCGGTCCCGGGGCGCCGACGGAGGGGCGGAGGCTGCGCGCCGTCCCGCGGGAGGCGTGGTCTCCTGCCCGCTGGGGCTTCTGGGAGCGTCCGCGTTATTCGAGAAACAGGGGGCGCGATGTGACGCCGGGTCGTTTCATATTCATGAGTGGGCGTGGTTGTGCCCGCGGGGGCTCCTGGGAGGGTTCTAAGCCCGTCCTGCGGCCCCGGGGACGCCGGTGAAGTGGCTACGCAGCTCCCGCGCGACCGCCGCCCGGTCCCCCCTCTTTCCGGTGGGAAAATCTTGAGGAGAAAAACATTTTTTTTAAACATTGAGACGTTTGAGGATGGTGAGGGCAAAACGACTAAATTTCATTTCTTTAACCGGAAAACTCAAAACGTGTGGTAAAATGTGGGGGGAAATTACTTTTTGGGCCCCCCCCCTAGTCTTTTCTTGAGGTGCTCGTTCCATCGTATGTGCCCTGAAGGGGCTCAAAATGGCATCATAATGTAGTTTGAGCCTACTAGTGACCAGTTTCTCTGTGGAGATGGTTTCGGATTATAACCTAGCAGATGCGATGGGTCCGTGGGATGTACAAATAAATCCGCAAAAGTCCCGGTGGGATTCCACTTGACGTTTTTTTACTCTGGGGAAAGAAGAAAAGATGTTCCTTCGCTGGGGTCCCCAACATAACCGAAGACCAAGGAAGGGACGGGGCGTTAAAACCGCATCCTCATTTTGGATTAAAATCCCTTCCTCTGGATTGGATGAGAGAAAGAATGTAGGAATACACCTTCAGGGTTTTCAGAAAAGCCAGCGCTTTCCTCCCAACATGTTCAGCTCTGAGCATGGGGAAAAAAGTTTAAGTTATGAGGAGCCATCAGTTGTAAAGAATTTAAGCATACCCTCCCCCCCTTTTTCTAACCCTCCTAAAGGGTTAAAAAGTAGATGAACTTAAGCGACTGCCTCTGAAGTTGTCCAGGTATCAGTGCCTCTGGAGACACAGGCCCTATTGAGGAAACAGATCAAATTGTGGATCAGATTCGAATTTTATTATCAGGAAAATGCTTTGAAACACATTCTGTGAAAAATTGAAAGCAGCCTATGGCTTAAGTAAATTAAGATTCTTCCATTTGGCTAACTGACACAGCCATTAAATATTTATATACTTAAAGATGGCATATTTATTGTCATAGAAAGAGATTATAATATAGTAGTGCTTGAAATAAAGCAAATTACCAAAATAGTATGAGTAGTGTGACAACATTTTTGTATAACAATAGGAATTTTTACACATTTAAAATTCAGAAAGGGTATAAACAAGTGTTTATAAATGAATTTAAGTTTCTATTAAAATTTTTTCTTTCTATTTAGCTATACATCATAAAATTTTCAACAATAAGATGTTATTTGTGAAATTTTAATGATGATTTAAAAATGTCTACTAATTAAACGTTCATTGAATGCTGAAGCAAAGCATTGTGGTGTCATTTCCTTTCACATAATGCCTCTTACTAAGCACAAAATTTGTGTCATATTTTAAAATATATAACTATTATTGGTATAAGTTGCTATGTAACCTTTTAAGCTGAATAAGTAACAAAATAATTTTAACAATTTTGTGCCCAAAGGGAAAAATGTATTTTGGTCAGCTATATTTGTAATTCTTTGATGTATTGTTGTTTTTCTTTTAATTAAATACTTTTATTAAGGGTTCTTACATCTATTATCACAATCCACACAATCATCCATTGTGTCCAGCACATTTGGACACATGCTGCCATCATTTTCAAAGCATTTTCTTTCTTCTTGGGCCCTTGATAGCAGCTCCTCATTTTCCCTCCTTCCTCCCTTGGATGTGTTTTAATGTCTTGCTTATTACTTCAGAAACAAGGAGTTGCACATACATCCATATGTATAATGCATATACATGTACATATGTACAATGCATATACATGTGCATATGTCTATAGATATACACCAAAGACAGTGTTTTTTTAATTGGAACAATGAAGTGAATTGAGGTCATTGTGTGTGATACATAATGTATTTTTTAAATCATTTTATTGGGGGCTCATATAACTCTTATTACAATCCATACATACATCAATTGTGTCAAGCACATTTGTGCATTCGTTGCCCTCATCATTCTCAAAATATTTGCTCTCCACTTAAACCCTTGGTGGTGCATAATATATTTTTAAGAATTAGTGTCTAGTATAAGTTAATACTCTAATTTTAATAAATTCCTTTAGCAAATGTTCATCTTTGATATCAAGTGATACAGGCCTTTCCTAAGATTTAACTAATATATTAATACAAAGTAGAACTGAAAGTAGACTGTTACTATACATTTACTTATTGTAGTTTTAGTAATTTTACTGCCTATTTATGGTAGAGTACATAATTGGCAATAGCAAAGCGACCTACTTAAGCTATTAAACTAAGCAAAAACCAAACCCACTGCCATTGAATGATTCTAACTCATGGCAACACTATATAGGATTTTTGAGACTCTAAATCTTTATGGGACCAAACAGCCTCACTTTTCTTCCTGAAGCAGCTGATGGGTTTGAAGTTAGCAGACTGATATTCACAGGACCATCTGTAAATTTAAAGTCTTTCAAAATTTAATTTTATTGTTTCTCATAACAGATCTACTCAGGTTTAATAGAAAGACTATTACTACAAAATTTTAAAGTACATTAATACATGAATTTTTTAGATAAGGGTTAAAAAACATTAACTGATTAATAGTGAATGTTCTTTATATTATATTGATTTTTGTGTTATATCTTTGACCTTTTTCTATTTTGCATATTTCTTTTCTCAGACTATACCTTATCCACATATAACATGCCTCATGTTTCTTATTCTGTCCAGAGCATTTTAAAGTGATAAAAATTTTTGAGGTTTTAAAAATGATCCATAGCTGAATAAATAGACTCTACTGTTAGAAAATGACATATATTGGACATCATATTAAAACTTATAAATATGGAGAGACAGCTATTGCCCATTCACATAGCAACTTCATTATACAACAAATCTTCATTGCTTTAATGTCCTTCCTTCTATTTTGTGTGTGCATGTGTGCTGTTTTTCTAACCAGGAGAAATGGATGAGATAAGAAGAAAGATGACATCCAGAATAAACACCAGCTTCACCTTGATCCCCAGCCAGAAATATAGACGAAGTAGTCGTCAATTCAGCTATCTTTCCAAAGCCTTTGACTCCAATTCTCACTTATCAACCCTTGGATATTTCAAAGCCTTACCACTGGAAATATTTCAAATAATCTTAAGATATCTGTCAGGTGAGGTTTGAAGACTATCTTAGTAGGCTACTGAAGACACTGTAATATTTGTCATATTTGGCCCTGATAAACTGTTGATAAAGCTCACATTACATTTCTTTTCTAATGTTTCAGTGTTGTAAGCTAAAGGTACAGTGAGAAGAAAGTATGATACTTTTAAACTCTTTTAAAACCATGCTTCTAATTGCAATAGTACGGCAACTTAATTATTACATTTACCATGTTTCTAATTCATTGGAAACTGGGTTTGAAATAAATCTTTTTCTCTTTTTCCCCTACTAGGCTTATTATTTTTCTATTATTATTTATGGGTTTACTTATAAATTAATAGACAGTACTAATTGTGATGTTCTATTTCCACCCCTCTGGTAGTGAAAGATATCAGCATGCTAAGCATGGTGTCTAAAACTGTCAGCCAATACATTATTAATTATATCTCAAGCTCATCAGGAAGCAAAAGATTTTTACTGCAAGACTTCCATAAACTTGAGCTGTCTGACAGAAGCCAAGACTCTGCTATACTGGAACACTACAAATCTCTAGGTAATTTATATAATGAGAATTGCAAGTAAAGAACTGTGTTTAATTATGGGGATTATATCATACAATTCTGTAATATCAGTGGGAAATGACATATTTCCTAAAATATGACTATTTCTCTGGTGCGTTTAATCTTTCCAATGTGAGAACTTCCTCTTAGCAACAGTCTCTTGTATTTATCTTGAAAGATGACAGGATATACTTAAATGTAAAGTGTCAGTCTTTGTGATTTCGTGTGAATTCACTGTCACCTATGTTTCTTCTCTTAGGTGGCTTAACAGTTTAAGAAATTGATGTGTTTTCTTTTGAGTCATTTCTGTGGATCTAGTGAGTTTATTTCTCTACCTCCTTTTCTTTTCAATCATAATCTGGACCTTAAAAAATAAGAGAAATATAAACACATTATCGTGGAAGATCACTTATTCTCTTCTCAGAATATAAGGTTTCCTTATTTTTAAAGCACTGAACATTCACTAAGAGATCGTTATGCTATAATTAAATTGACATTATCAAAGAAAGTTCTATATAATCTTTCTCCTGTTGTTTATAGTCAGTTTTATCTTTTACCTCATTCATTGATTTCCTTCTCACTTACAGTGTGAAAATAAATTTCTAACTTTGACTTAACTAATGACACTAATTTAATTATAAAACCATTTTTCAAGTAACCCAGGCACAACAATAAAACCAAACATCAAGGTGATGTTGAGATTTAAATAAAAGCATAGTAGTAAGCCAAGTGAATAGTGTCTTTTTAAGGGTGCCTAGCTTCAAGATAATAAACTATGTAGATGTATATGTACATCAAACTATATTTGACAAGTATGTTTAATAAGACAAAATGAAAAGTGTGATATCTGATTAGCAGCATTGGTTTCAGTATTTATGCTTAGGCTTGGTGTAAAGCCTGTGAAGAATATGGCAATTACGTTTTACTACTTCTATTGTGTCTTGTTGTCAAACACTGCTAGTTGTAGGGAAATTTTCCTTTGGTTTTAATCTGCAAGGATAAACTGGTGATATTTTTCTGTATGAGCAAGTCTTAATTGCATAAACAAAATAGAGCATTAAGACAATTATGTGGATAATTCAGTGAGAATTACAAATTGCAAATATATTGACCTTAATAGCTAGATTTTAAAATATTTTATTCATGCAATGACTTCACCCTTCCATTTAATTTTGATGTGGACATCTGGTTTATTATTGATTATTCAGGTAAATGTTTGCTGTACCTACCATTTTCTCATGTTGCCATTCGTGTCAGATCTGCTCCTTTTCAGACAATAAAATAACATTTTTCAGAACCCTGCTCATTGAAGATTATAAATTTTAATTTGCTTCTTTATATAAAGCAGAGCAGATGGCCAATGTAGAGAGAACATTACATCTAACTCTATTTTTGTGGAGAAGAAATTAGCAAAGTTGGTCTGTAAAGGGTATAGGAGAACACCTGTGTTTAAAAAAGATACGTCACCCTGTCTTGGTGTTTATGGCAAGCTGTAACCCTTAAAAATAGGAGTTGTACATTAGAAATGATAACCAAAATGTAATTACAGCTTACAACCTCCCTCCCCCCCCCCACCCATGATGATACGACTTGAATCTGGCTGGCAAACTATGAAAGGAAAGGAACACAACAGCCTAAAAATGAAACACTGAAGATGTCTTTTTATCTACAAAAATAAGGATTCATATTTAAAATTCAAATCTGGTTATGTGTTATCCCAACAACAATTTCTAAAAATAAATGAGATTCTCACAGATTCTACAGAATTATACAAAGTAATATATTATGTAAAATGCAGAAAGATGAAAACTAAAATAAGTCATAATATTCATATATTTTACTGCTACATATCTTATTTTTAGTGTAAGGACATTTACTCTTACAGGAATGTTAGCAATGTGTTGCCATTTTAGGAAAATAGACCACTTAAAGTTAGAGAATACAAATCATTCTTTTCCTATCACTGTGGTTCAAGTTACATATCTCACTGGGAAATTGAGAGGATTTTTAAAAATATTTGAACACACAACCCTATACATTCTTAACATGAAAACTCCATAAAAGGGTATTTTTAAAGGAAGAGATAGATACTTAATCTAAATTGGATACTGTCTGTGAATAGAAATGACTTCAACCTTCTGAAATTTTCAGTATTTATGACTTTACATTTTTGTATTTGGCAAAAAAGTAATACAAGACAATCTTTTCTTGCCATATTTTACATTGGCAACATTTAAAAATGTGTTCCTTTATGGACATGACATTAATTTTAAGAGATAGTAGAATCACTTTTCTATGGAATAAATACAGTCAAGGTTCCCCTAGTATATTTTTATGTTTTGTTATTGTATCTTTTTAAATCTAAATGTTTTTTCACATCTGCCCCATAGTATCAAGTACTTTTTTTTTTTTTTTGCAAAGTTTTACCACAATGCCTTTTGGATGAGCATCAGTTACTTGTTAGTTTCCATCAATAACTTTCAACTTTGAGTGGCTTATGTACAACAGAACAAAACACCTCCCAGTCCTGTGCCATTCTCACAACTGTTGTATTTCAATCCATTGTTGCAGCCACTCTGTCAATCAACTTTGTTGATAGTCTTCCTCGCTGTCTCTCACCCTCTACTTTACCAGAGTCACTTAGTGCACATCATATATTATAAAGGCTTTGTACCTTTCCTCCCAAACTTTCCCGTACAAAAACCACATCAACTATTATTCAGCTATAAGGAAAAATTGCATTCGGATACATGCTAAGATGTGGATGAGACTTAAAACAATTTTCTGAAAACAAAACAATTTTCTGAGTCAAACTAGTCAGATACAAAAGGATAAATGTTGTGTGATCCCACTAACATCAGATAATTAGAATAGGTATTTGCATAGATGCAGTGGATTCATAGTTACTGCCTGGAAGGGGAAATGTGTTGTTACTGATTAGGGAGTGCTGGATTTCTGTTAAAAGTGATGAAAAAATTTGGAAATGGATTACATGTTATTGCATTTTACATGTAAATGGAAACGTTTTATTGCTATATACATTCTACTACAACCACATATGAGGGGGTACCTCCCCCCCAAAATGGAAAAAAACTTTGCTGGGTGGATCTGTTGTAATAAGCATTTTCCCCCTAGACGAGCAGAGAATCGAGCAACTTGCTCTGAGTTAGTGCATCCAGTGGTGTCACCTGGGAAAGTTCTCTTTGGTCACAGTGAATTTTTTCATAAAAGCAGTTTCTCTCAAACCTCATTTTTTGTGATGGCTGATTTCAGAGAACAGTGTGTGGCTGTGAAATTTTGTTTCCTGCTTTGGAAAAGTGCCATAAAAACTGTTGTGATATTGAACAAAGCTTATGGGTAAAACTCAAGTGTACAAGTGGTTTTCTCGTTTCAAAAAAGTGAAATGTCGAATGATGACAAACCTTGTTCTGGACGTCTGTCGACTTTCTGAAAGGACAAAAAATGTCTACTCGTAGTGCATTTGGAGTTCATTCCACCAGGTCAGACTGTTAATCAGGCTTCTTATTTAGAGATTCTAAAAAGTAGCATAACAGCGTGTGACGAAAAAGGGCTGATTTGTGGCAGATGGCGGACTGGTTTTGCTACCACGACAATGCACCTGCTCACGCGGCCATGTCAATGCACCAGTTTTGGGCAAAAAACAGCTTGCCTCTCTTGCCCCACGCACCTTAATCACCTGACCTTGCTCCTTGCAACTTTTTTTGTTTCTGAAAATGCAGCGGGACATGAAAGAACAGTGATTTGAGGACATAGAGGAGGTGAAGAAAAAACGAGGCAGGTGCTGTTAGCCATCCAAACAGATGAGTTTGAAAAAATGTTTTCAAGAATGGGATCGCAGATTTGACAAATGTATTAAGTGTAAGGAGCAGTACTTTGAAGGTGATAAGGTTGTTTTGTAAAAAATGTACATGGCTTTGGAAAAAAATTCCGTTTGTTTTGGGTACCCCCTCGTATATAAGATAGATAGATAGATAGATAGATAGATAGATAGATAGATAGATAGATTCTAGAGTCCACTATGATATTCTGAATCCTTAACTTTCTTGAAAACTTTTGCTGTGCTTATTTATATTCTTAAATTAGCTGTTATTTTTTCATGTATGTCTTTTACTTTTCAGGTCTACTATTTAAAAGATGCACATTGCTGCTACCCACAAAGGAAAGACTAAAGTACATTCACAAGATACTTGCAGAAGTAAGATCATAATTCTGAATTAAATTACAAACTTGATTTCCAATAAAGATATTTTATTAGACTAACTTTAAGTCTCTACTTATAGTTTTATAGATTATCAATAAACAATTAACTGATGATATTCTAATACTTTATTAGTACTTAGCGGTTACATATCACCAAACTATGTTATTATTATTATTATTAGGTGATGTCCAGTCAGTTCCAATTCATAGGCTTTACTTCATTCACATCATTATGGTTGGCTCTACATTTCTTCCTCAGTCGTATTTTGAGTGCCTTCCAACCTGAGGGGCTCATTTTGGCACTCTCTGACAGTGCTGCTTCTATTCACTAGATTTTCAGTAAGCGACAATATTTCATAGCATTTTCAGTGACTAATTCTTCTGAAGTGGACAGCCTATTCCTTCTTGTTGTATTTGCTGCCTGTTAATTCCAATTCTTAGTAAACGGAACTAGCTCACAGGGTTTCCTAGGCTAAAATCAATGTAGAAGGAACCCTGGTGCATAGTGGATTACATGTTAGGCTGCTAAACTCAAGGTCAGTGGTTCAAATCCACCGACCACACCCCTTGGGAGACAGATACAGCTCAATTTACAGCTTAAGAAATCCATGGGGGGGTCAGTCTACTCTGTCCAATAGGGTCACACTGTCGGCTGCAATTGGCTTGATGGCAGAGAGTTTGAGTTGTAAAATCTTTCAGTGAGCAATTAACCACTATGCCCCAGGGCTCCAGAAATATAGTATCATAATATTACTTATAAAACAAATTTTATGTAACTACATCATTTAAATTTATTAGGTGTCTCAGAATATAGAGGTATTTTTACCTTACATTGGAAGGCTGTGGACATTTCAAAGTGGTATTTAGTATTTTATTAAAATATAATAATTTCTGAATGTTAGAATCTTATTGTTTACCTATACAAAAACATAAAGCATTTTAAATATATAAAAAGACAAACATTTTATGATGTTAGATTTAGAAATACATATCGATGTTTGGTGAGTCTCCAGAGAAGTTTTACTGTACAGACTCAAACCTTTAGCTCTGATGGTTCAGTAATAACTGTTTCTGATGCCCTTGCTTTGCTCAATTCTGTAGTATTACAACTGTTTCCCAGCTGAATTTTCTGCCTTCTCAATGTATTCTGTGCTTTAAATAGAAAGTTATTCTTTTTTTCTTTCTTAATTAAAATGTTGGACTTCTTTCATGCGGTTCTAGGTGGTTTTTGTTGTTTTTTATCATTTTACTGGGGGTTCGTACAACTCTTATCATAATCCATACATACATCCATTGTGTCAAGCACATTTGTACATTTGTTGCCATCATCATTTTCAAGACATTTTCTTTCTACTTGAGCCCTTGGTATCAGCTCCTCATTTTTCCCCTCCCTCCCTCATGAACTCTTGATAATTTTTTTTTTCTTGTCTTCCCCCAACCGCTGTCTCCCTTCACCCACTTTCCTGTTGTTTGTTTCCCTGGGAGGGGGTTATATGTAGATCATTGTGATCGGGTCCCCTTTTCTCCCCCGACCTTCCAATCTTACCCTCCTGGTACTGGCTACTCTCAATATTGGCCCTGAGGGGTTTATCTGTTCTGGATTCCCTGTGTTTCCATCTCTTATCTGTACCCGTGTACATGTTCTAGTCTAGCCAGATTTGCCAGAATTGGGGTCATTATAGTGGGAGGGGGAGCATTAAAAAACTAGAGGAAAGTTATATGTTTCTTTTTAAAAATTCTTGGGGGCTCATACAACTCATCACAATCCATACACACATCCATTGCATCAGGCACATTTGTACATTTGTTGCCCTCACCATTCTCAAAACATCTGCTATCAGCTCCTCATTTTTCCCCTCCCTTTCCCACCCTCCCTCCCTCATAAACCCTTGATAAATTATAAATTATTATTATTTTGTCATGTCTTACACTGTCTGATGTCTCCCTTCACTCACCTTTCTGTTGTCCGTCCCCAGGGAGGGGGTTATATGTAGTTCACTGTGATCAGTTCCCCCTTTCTCCCCTACCTTCCCCTTACCCTTCTGGTATCACTACTCTCAATGTTGATCCTGAGGGGTTTATCTGTCCTGGATTCCCTGTAGTTCCAGCTCTTATCTGTACCAGTGTACATCCTCTGGTCTAGCCAGATTTATAAGGTAGAATTGGGATCATGATAGTCATGGGTGGGGGGAGCGTTAAAGAACTAGAGGAAAGTTAAATGTTTCATCGGTGCTATACTACACCCTGACTAGCTTGTCTCCTCCTTGTGAAGGTTATTCTTAAAGCATCACTTTCATCAAATTAACTTTATTGCTTAAAAATCTCTCAGTGGCTATTTACTTTCAGCAAGACAAAGTTCAAGCTCTATCACAGTATTTATGGTTCTACCAGGTAATGCAAATTTACTTCCTACTATTTTGAACCCAGTAAAGCTGTTCATATATTTCTTTCCTGAATATTTAATAACACCTAATAAACTTGTTTATTCCTGCCTCTGTATCAATATATTATTTTTTTCAACAATTATTTTATTCATTTTTTCTGAATCCTACCAATACTTTATGACTTTGCTTGTCTTATATCTTTAATAATTTTTCTTGAACGTTTCCAAATCTCTTTTCTTTGTTTTCATATGGTGTTAAAATAGTGCCTATTCAGTCATTTTAGCATTTATACAATATTCTAACTGATAATATAATCATTTTATATGTGTATTTCTTTTTTATTTTAATACTTTTATTGGGGGCTCTTACATCTCTTATCACATGCCATACATTCATCCCAGTGTGTCAAGAACCTTTGCACATATGCCGCCATCATAATTTTCTTTTTTTTTGTTTGTTTAATTGTATTGCTATTGTAGATAATGTGCTAACAAAAGTGAGATGTATGTTGCACTCATACATGTAAAGGGGTAAAGGCAGACACATTTTTTATTAGATAAGCTAGGCAGTAGTTTGGAGCCATCATCATTTTCAAAGCATTCTCTTCCCTCTTGAGCCCCTGATATCAGCTACCCATTTCTTCCCCCTCCCTCCCCCACCCACCCTCCCTCACAAAACCTTGATAAGTTATAAATTTTTTTTTGTTATAAATTATTATTTCCAAATCTTACATCATTCTCTGTGGCCCCTCACCCACTTTTCCATTATTCATCCCCCTGGGCGGGGGTTCTAGATCGATCCTTATGATCGATTCCCCCTTTCTCCACCCACCATCCCCTAATCCTACTATATGTGTATTTCTGATCTTCATAAATAAACTCCAAGATCCTTGAGGGTAAGGGTTTTGTTTCATACTTTTTTTGTTACCTCAATTGGTGTAACATAATGCTAATCAGAATATATACGGGGGGAAATCTTGCTTATTTCCATTACATTTGAATGTCAAATCATTGTACAGTTCCACTGAAAAGGAGGGATTAACAGCTGTTCTTTTTTATAGGTTTCATGTTTTAAATTCAGTGGCTGTGCAGTTCCTTTACAATGTGTAGGATTACCATGTTATGGCCTGTTTTTACAGGTATGTTTTTTAATGAAAGAATAATATATTTTGAACTGTATATATTATATATATTATAGAACATGTATATCTATTGGTCCATAGGTTAAAAGAAGTCATAAGAATCTTAAAAAGCACAAAAGAGAAGTTTAAATATTTAAGAATGTATTAATCAAACAGTGTATTTTCTACCTACGTTTTTTTTCTCCTTGGGTTTCTTACTAGTGAGAAATGTTTAACATCCATTTGTTCACACCCTTGTCCTTTTTAAGTTTCTAAAAATCTTGTAAAACTAGAACTGTTATGGAGTTTAAAGAAACAAAAACTCTTATGTAAGCGGTTTAAAGACTGAGGTTCGTTATTTAAGGTATGATTTTTGAAATCTGTGTAATTTCAAGAACATTTCTGACTAATATTTTATTGTAAGCAAAAATCATTGTCACCTAGTCAATTATAATTCATGGTCAACCTTTATCAGGCATCCAGGAAAGTAAATCTTTATGGAAGCAGACAACCTCATGTTTCTTCCGAAGAGTGGCTAGTAGGTTTGAACCCCCAACCTTGCAGTCAGAAACCCAATGGCTCACTCAGTGCCACCAGGGCTCTAGAGTAAGCAAAAAAGGTCATAAAAATTAGCATTTGTTGAGCCCTTGCTGTGTTCTAGACACTAATCTAAGCAGTTTATATTTGTTTACTAATTTAACATGTAAAATAACATTATGAGGTTGGTTATTATCCTCGTTTTGCAAAGAAGGAAATTGAAGCACAGGGAGGGAAGTAATTTGCCTAAGAGTTGGAGAGACAGTAAGTGAACTCAATAATCATACGTTCAAAATAAAAGAGTCAATACCTTCAACCACTACCTTACTGCTTCTCAAAGTAAGAACTATTTAAGAACTAAAATATATTACTTCTAAAAAAAAAATGAAAGAAAGTTGTACTTTGTGGGACAGAGAGTGTTCACCCAAATTCTCAAATTTTATGACTTCTGTGGAGCTATAGTTTTCAGCCCTCTAATGGCCTACTTATTTCTTCTCTGTCGCCTCTTTAGCACAAGGGTATCATTGTATCTCTCCTCTCATCAAGCACTGGCTCTTGGAAAAATTTGCCCTGTAGCTCAGCCTGTCAGCCACCAGCTCCTACAAGCCAGATCCCAGGACCATCAGCTCTTCCACTAGCCTACTCTTCCAAGTCAGATTTAGGGGATTTTTTGTTTTGTTTTATATTGAAATGTCTTTGGACTAGAGAGTACATGTACATGTACAAAGGAGCCTCCAAAAAAGTTTGTGAAAAAAAATCTATTATATTTTTCCATGAACTTTTGAAGCCCCATTGCATTTGTTTAAAATTTGAAATGGTAGGCATATAAAAATATAAAATGATATAGTGAAAAGTTAACCTCCCTCCTAGACCTGTCCCTAGTCCACTGATTTCCCTTTGTCAAAAGTTTCTTATGTATCTTTACAGAGAGAATACATTTCTTAAACTCGTGGAATCCTATTAAACTATTTTAAGAAAATCTTATATGATTAATAACCTTTCAAAATCTAATTGTAGTGGCTTACCATTTTAATCTCCTTTTCTTATATGTTTCACTATCCATTCTATTTTGCATAAAGACAGTTATTAAATATTTAAGTGCTAGTAATTGACACTTAGCATTTGCAAGCAATATCATAAATAATAGCTAGATGGGGTTAAAGGGGTGCTATTGCAGTCACTGGTACTTTACTCTAAACCTTAGCCACAGTTTGTGAGTCACAGCTACAGCTATATTTTAGAGTTTTGGCTTTACTTTGTTAGTTTCTTTGAACTGTAAGAGTTCAGGATTCAGTACCATTTAGAAGTTCTCTGAAAAGACACTTGCTTTCAAACTTAAAGTAAATTGGATTTTGGAACATTTCTAGTTCTTATTTATGTAGTTTCTTATTAATTTGAACAGTTCCATAATTTGAACAGTGGATAAAAATTGCTTTTGACCTTGATTGTGGGCTATAAATTATGATCATAATGTAGACGTGACTGACATTTTAATTGTATGGTCTGAACACCTAATAAACAATTAGATTCCAATTTTTCAATTTTATGGTCAAAACATTTAATAAAATGAAATGTTTATTTTATTACCCTCAGGCCTTAACAGCAGGTTGGGATGAGCTCGAGTGTCATCGTGTTTATAACTTCTTAAGTGAACTGACCAATCTCTCACGCAAGATACAGACTGTTGTCTACAGCAAACCAGGTAAAAGAATTACAATTCACAGAAAATATTGTACAGAAATTAAGGGAGAAAAAAATTTAGAATTCAGAAGTATAGATAAAAATCAAATATGCTATATTTAGTAAAAGAACAAAGAAATGTAAGGGAATGATAAATACTGAACTGGATGGGAGGAGGGAAAGAGGACGTATGCTTGAGGAAAGAAAAAGTCCTTAGAGAGCTTCCACTATATTAATACTCTTACTCCTTAAAGGGGTGGTGGATACAAAAGTATTCATTATAGCATTCTTTCAACCTGAAGTATTTTATTTATTAAAATATAGAACCCTACAATCTAACATTTTCACTCTGAGAAACATCTATAATGGTTGCAAAGACACTTATCCAAGAGTGATAATTACAGCATTATTTATAACCACGAAAAGCTGCAAAAATTCTTGACCCGATGTATGTATGGATTGTGATAAAAGTTGTATGAGCCCCAATAAAATGATTAAAAACCAATTAATTAATTAATTAAGGGGGGGGTCGGGAAGCTGCCAAAAACCTGACTGTCTATTGTCAGGATACTCGATGAATGAACTGTGGTATAGTCATACAATTAAAAACATCATCCCCAGAAGAATTTACTTTAGAGGACGGCACTGAAGCTGCAGCTAGGAGAGAGGGGCATGTCTGATCAGAGCACATGGGAGCAAATGAATGGGGAGGAAGAGAGAGTGGAGTACATCCTGGTCCACCAGGCCTAGAGGACAATATCTCCGCTCTGAACAGCCAATGGACAGAGTGGACCATATGGCTGATCCCACTATGAGACAAGTCACCCCTTGCTGGCCCAGGGCCCTAAGGGGGACAGCACTGGAGACTCAGTGTCATGACTGACCGGACTGACCCCTTGACACCGAGGCAAACCACTAAAGGCGTGCGGCAGAGCACCCAGGGGAACAGAGCAGGGAGCCCCCCAAGGGAGTACAAAGGACAGACTCTGGGGCCAGAGCGTGGCACCCAATTGGACCTGACTGAAGGATATGCCTAGAGATCAAAAATCAGACCTTGATCTATTTACAGGTTTTTCTTTCTTTTTAATTTTTTTTCTTTTAATTAATTTATTCTTCTATGGGTCATTGGGGTTTTTTTTGTTGTCATCGCTGTGTTCTCATTCATCGCCTGTCTTGCTATGGCTTGATTTTTGGTGCATATTATTATTTCTACAGGTCTATCTAGATAAGATAGGCTGGAAAAATAGTCTGGAGGAGAAAACAACGGAACTAATGGCTCCGGGGGGACACGGGAGAGGGGGAAGCAGGGGTAAGGAGGTGGTGCTAACCCAGGGACAGGAGAGCAACAAGTGATCCAAAATCAGTGGCAAGGAGGGTGTGAAAGGCCTGATAGGGATTCAGCAAGGGCAATGTAATCTCCACTTAAGTGGAGGCCCAATGTCCATCTGCTATCTTAATACTAAACCTATAAATATATGCACATAGATCTATTTTCCTATCCTCATATATAAATATATTTACATATGTACCTGTCTTTATTTGGACCTCTATAAACGCCCTTTGCCTCCTAGTTCTTTCCTCTATATCCTTTTGTTTTCCTCTTGTCCCACTATCATGCTCAGCCTTCATTTGCATTTTTACATTACCCTTGATCACACCCTACCAGACCTCCTACACCCTCCTCACCACCAATTTGGTTCACTTGTCCCTGGGTTTGTTAACACCACTTCCTTTCCCTCCACCTCCCCTTTTCCCATGTCCCCGGGAACTGTCGGTCCCATTGTTTTCTCTTCCATGTTGTTCACCCAGCCTATCTTATTTAGACAGACCTGCAGAGATAATAACGCATAAAAACAAGACAGAGCAAAACAAAGCAACAAAAGAAAGCAAAACTACAACAACAAAAAGCCAATGACAAAAACAACAACAAAAAGCCTGTAGTTAGTTCAAGGACTGTTTGTTGGTCTTTAGGAGTGTTTTCTGGTTGAGTCTGATAGGGTGCCATGACCTGACCCCAAACTCTACTTTTGGTATTCCCTGGGGACTTCGTTGCTCTGTTCCCCCCTCCCCCCACCCCCAGGTAGGACTATGGGTCAGTGAGGGATGTTGTGTCTCATAATGAGGCTGGCCATATGGTCTTCTCTGTGGATTGGCTGCTCTGAGCGGGAATACCGTCCTCAAGGCTTGGTGGGCCAGCTCGTCCAGTTCTTGCCACAATCCACCCATACATCCATGTGTCAAACACATTTGTACATTTGTTTCCATCATCATTTTCAAAACATTTTCTTTCTACTTAAGTCCTTGGTATCAGCTCCTCATTTTTCCCCTCCCTCCCTCCACTCCCCCACTTTATTTTCTTTCTGTTGGGTTCTCCACTTTGTGAAGCCCAAAAGGAGTAGATACATAGAGATAATAACTGATACAAGGGTTTATAGGGGAGGTTGGGATGGGGAGTGGCAACAGGAGAAGCTCCATAAATATTGAGTATATAGGCCCTTGAGAATCTTTTTATTTTTCCTCAAGAAAAATGAAGTAACTTTCAAATAAAACACATTGATACTGTTTGCATTGAGTTTCCTATGAAACTACAATTTCTTTTAAAATTGACCATCTATGAGATCCTAATGAAAGCATGTCTTTTGATCGACTTACTATTCAAAATGTCAAATATAAATTAAAAAGGTAGAGGTAAGTAGACAATTAAAATCATAAAATTAAGGTAGTTAAAGAACAGATAATCTCCTGATTTACTTCCTGTTTAAGATCACTAACCACATTTCTAAGAGTTATTCTGATCATTATTCAATATATCTTATCAGTTCAGTCAGGATGAATTTACATTTCTGTCTTGCTAGGGAGCGCCAGGAAATTGGAGTTAAGGATCAGGCTATTCTGTAGGAATGTCCTGCTTGATCATTGGACATATCGAAGTGACTCTGCTTTTTGGTTGACTCGTATATTAAAGCCATGGCCTATGGTGAATCAGGCGAGGTTACTGTATATTATCTTCGGGCCAATATCTCCTCAAGATGGTGAGCATTTATTTATCAGAAATATATGCTATATAACTGTTTGATTATTTCCACTTATGGAAACAATATTTGTACCTGATCAGTTACATCATCACAATTGCTAAACCATTTCAAGATTTCATAAATGTGTACTATATTAACTTATGCATTATTTAAATTTCAAAGCAGAACTATTCTTCTGTAGGCCTTACCAAATATATTCTCTGCTGTTGTTCTAGTTAAGTTCCGCATAGATAAATGTTAGGAAAAGTGTGCATATCTTTACTTCTATTAAGAGGCAGCCAGTTTAAATATGCTGAGTAGCAGGAAACCAATTGAGGATTAGAAATCTGTTGTATGTAATCCACAAAGAATATTGGTAATAGGAAAAGAATTAGAAGTGAACTTAGTTTTGATACTCAGTTCTGATATAAATGTTTTGGAAATTTTAAAATATGCTCGTTTTCAGAAAGGATAAAAGTAAGTTTTTATTTATTTTAGTAAGACACTATCAATTGTCTGTTCTAATTTCTGTTATGAGAATAGCATTGTCTTTGAAGTAGAACACTCTTCTGCTTGGTGAAACTACCATTTGTTGCTGCTTCATCACAATATTAAGAGGCATTAAAATTGATTATAATCACAATAGAAGGTCTGTAATTAAAGTCAAAATGAAAGCAATGTATATAGTAAAGGGGTGCCATTTTCCAATCCAATTCCCTTTTTAAATGATCCCCTTTATTTATTATAAGCCCCTTATTCTGTCATAGCCTAGTTTTTGTTCAATTATAATCCAGGACAGGTGGTTTGGCAGAAAATGATAGAAGGACGTACAGATGAATCCAGTCTAAAAGACTTAGCCGATGCTATTAGGCTACTGTATGACACAGACACTAAAGAGTGGACAGCAGATGATGTCATCAGTCTTATAGATGAATTATCAGGTAAAAATATATCTTACCAACATAGAATGATAGAATCTTTTTATTAGACTATGGTTATAAAATTGTAATGACAACTCTACAGGTATCAAAAAAATTAGCCTCATTTTTGAAGAGAATTAATATAATCAGTTTATTGTTGCCAGCAAGTTGATTGTGGCTCATAGTGACTCCATGAATAAAAGTGATCCATAGGCATTTTCAGGGCAGTGATCTTTCAGAAGTAGATCACAGGCCCGTCTTAAGTGGTGACTTCGTGGGTTCAAACCACCTAGTGCTTAACCATTTTCACCTCCCAGGGACCTTATAATCAACTTACTTTCCTTCAGTTACCAATTTTTAAATTGATTTGTGTTGTTACTATTTGAATGCTTCATATTTTAGTTAAAGTATTCCAATGTTTGCAAGGTCTCAGACACAACTTCCAAGGTTATATAAGAAAGAAAGCCATCTCCTATTGGCACAGGAGAGATTAAGTCATTTTTTCCATTTCTGAAAAATTCTTTAAATTCTAAAATTTAGGACATTTCTTTCCTTACACCATGTAGGGTGCCTGTTCTTCTACTAGATGGTAGAATGTCTTTGGTTAGGTTTCTAGGTCATTGTAAGAGCCACTATGACATGGTAACAATTTGTATCAATAGTTGAATCCTATAATTGAAAAACAAAAGCATTTTTCTGAGTTTTCACTTGGCACTAACTGTATTTACAATCAAGTAGTAAAATATTGTGTATATTTAATGATGTTTACTACAGCTATTGTGTGATTTCTCATTGAGTAAGTGTTCTTCCTCTAATAAAAGTGATTCCCCGTGAGTGGCTTCTAGAGAATAATGCCCGTCTACTAATCCTAAGTGGGAACAGCATCTGTTTCACTTTCATGGCTAGCAAAGCTGTGAATGGACGAGTCTTCGAACTAGCAAAGCTGATAGTCTTTATTGCTTTGGTAAGTAAAAACGAGATTTTTTCCCCTTGTATATTCTTTAACATAACAGTTACCTACCAAGAAGCTCCCTTGGAAAAATAAGTATTTAAATATAAATGTTTTAATGTTTTTATTAAGAATATTAAAACTTGTATAATAAATTATCCCATTTAGAGCATTCCTTATATTTCTCTCCCTGCTTCATGTGTAGATTATCATTGTATCACTATACCAAGATACAGTCCTTTTAAAAATTCCATTTGAAAAATATCTAATTTGATTTTCTTTGAAATGTGAGGCAATAGGGAGATGTGGAAGTGAATGGCAGTAGAGCTAAAACAAGATTGGTAATTGTTGAAGCTGGAAGTTGATACTAGGAATTCATTATACTGTTTTCACCATTGTATAATCAATTTTCCCTCCAAAATTAAAAAGTATACTTAATATTTATTCATTTAACACAAGTATATTAAGTGCTTACTGTAAGCCATAAGTTGCAATCAGATGCTATACAGCACCAATTGTTCATATGTAAGTTCAGGTTGAAGTTGAGGAAAATTAAAATAAGTCCATGAGAGCCTTGAGAATACCCCACTTGAATTTCGATAACATCTCAAGGACAGATTTGACACACTGAACACTAATGGCAGGAGACCAGACAAGCTGTGAATGACATCAAGAGCATCAAACTTAAAGAAAGCATTAAACCTAAAGAAAAGATTAAAGTGGATGTTAGAAGAGACTCTAAATCTTGATCTTGAATGTAGAGTAGCTTGACAAATGGAAGAAATGATGATGTAACAGAGCTGAATAGAAAATTTCAAAGAGCAGCTGAAAAAGACAACGTGTAAGGAAATGTGCAAAGACCTGGAATTAGGAAGTCAAAAAGGAAGAGCACCCTCAGTACATGTCAAGCTGAAAGAACTCAAGAAAAAATTCAAGCCTCGAGTTGAAATATTGAAGGATTATATTGAAAATAATATTAAATAATTCAGGAAGCATCTGAATAAAGATGATAGAAGGAATACACAGAATCACAGTCCCCCAAGGAACTGGTTAATATTTAACCATTTCAAGAGGTAACATGCAAGCATTCATTTAATTGTGTCATTGGCTAAGTTCACAAAGAAGAAGCACACCAGTATTTCTGACCCAAGAATTATAAGTAACAAAAAAACTAAACCCAGACTAGGGGATGACGTTAGAGCTTAAATTTTGAACATTTGGTTTTCAGAAGGCTAAAGATGACAGTGAAAGCTCCAAACCGGGGTCCCTTGTAAACTCATATTAAGCCTCTGGTGAATCCCCTCTGACTATGGACTAGAGATGGGAAAGACCTTGTTATCAGACAGAGAACATTCCAGGATGTATTATTGCAGTTGTAGTTATGTCAAAATGTGACACATTGTCATTGATCTCCCTCTTGACACAATATATAAATGTTCTAATTTTTTTTTTCCAGTTCACTTCCCTTAGAGATTATTAATTGCCCACACTCATTGTAAGGAAACTTGGCTGTGTTCCATGAGGAACGCAGGGCACTAGCGCTCCAGTTTTTAATGTTTTCAGCTTTATTGATTGAGGTCTTCCTTTGTTTCATCATGTCGTTGTTGGATTTGTATTCTGCCTTGATTTTGTTTTTTTGTTTTGTTTTGGTTTTTTTCTTGCCTTGATTTTGTATGATTTTCTGTATATGGAACCCAGATTAGGTAAACCTATCAAGACAACAAATAGATCAATTGATTTAAAGGGACATAAAAGGGGAGGCTGACAGGATATGGGGAACTACAAAGAAGAAGAAATGTCCTAGAATTGATTTTGGTGATGGTTGCACAACTCTTATGAATGTGATTGAACTATTGAAATGAAATGTATGATACGTGGTTTTTATGTCTGTGAAACAGTTAAAAATAAACAAACTACTTTAAAAAAATGTAATTTTAAAAAAAGAGGTAACTTGTGATCAAGAATCAATGGTACTGAATGGAAAAGTCCAAGCTGTACTGAAAGCATTAACAAAAGAAAAAGGTTCCAGGAATTGACAGAATACAATTGAAATGTTTCGGCAAACTGATGAAGCACTGGAAACACTCACTTTTCTATACAAAAAAATTGCAAGACAGCTACTTGGCCTATCAACTGGAAAAGGTCCATAGGTAATCCAACAGAATACAGAAATTATACAATGTCATCAATAACGCATGTGCAAGAAAAATTGTGCTCAGGATAAGTCATTAATGACTGCAGCTCATTGACAGGGAGCTATTAGAAGCTCAAGCTGGATTCAAAAGAAGATGTGATACAATGGACATCAGTGCTGATGTCAAATGGATGTTGAGTGAAAGTAGAGAATATAAGACAGACATTTCTCGTACAAATCCAACTAGGTCAGAGCATGCACACTGGTACAGATAAGAGCTGGAAACACAGGGAATCCAGGACAGATATACCCCATCAGGACCAACAATGAGAGTAGCAATACCAGGAGGGTAAGGGGAAAGTAGGGGAGAAGGGGAACCGATCATAAGGATCTACATATAACCCCCTCCCTGGGGGACAGACAACAGAAAAGTGGATGAAGGGAGACATTGGACAGTGTAAGACATGAAAAAATAATAATTTATAAATTATCAACGGTTCTTGAGGGAGGGAGGGGGAAATGAGGAGCTGATACTAAGGGCTCAATAGAAAGCAAATGTTTTGAGAATGATTATGGCAACAAATGTACAAATGTGCTTGACACAATGTATGGATTGTGATATGAGTTGTACAAGCTCCCAATAAAACAATTTTTAAAAAAGAAAGATATTTACTTGAGTTTTATTGACTATACAAAGGTATTCAACTGTGTGTTTCATAACAAACTGGATAACATTGAGAAGAATGGGAATTATGCTCATGCAGAACTTACACATGAAACAAGAGACAGTTTAAAACAGAACAAGGAAACACTTCATGGTTTAAACTCAAAGGGTTGTACCCTTTCTCCATGTTTATTAAATCTGCATGCTAAGCAAATATTCTGAGAAGCTAGACTATGTGAAGAAATCCTTCCTGAATAACAACCTTCCATATACAGATGACCCAAACTTGCTTGCTGAAAACAAAAAGGATTTGAAGCACTTGCTGCTGATGATTAAGGACTGCAGCTTTGATCAGTTATCAGGCATCAAAGAACAAAAAATCGTATCATTGTGTGCTCATGAGTTAGTTTATTGTGCCAACCTGGCTGATAAACACTTGTGGGATTGATTGAAGGGTGGAGGGATAAATGACTCAGTGAGCCTCGCCTTTGTAGTTCTCAGGTCTCTTGCTTTTGATGGTCGGACCAGGGTGCAGCTACTTTAACAGTTCCCAGCTTCAGCTTGCAAGGATGACTTCCTGCAAGACATCCCTAAAAAGCCACATGGATCTACCCTGATGCAGTCCAGGGTGCTGAAGCAGCCGTGTGGAGACCCCTGCCAGCGCTGAGATGCTTACACATTCACTGATTCGGCTTTGCGCCTGCAGTGGGCATCATTGCGTCTGCTTTGTGAGATGGAGGACTTTCTGAATAGGTGTTGGACATATGGGTTAATGTTGAACTTGTGGGCTTGGGCAGCACTGGGATGTTTCCTTGATGCACAATTAACCTATATATAAAACTCTTTTATACATGAGTTTTTGTGGATTTGTTTCTCTTAAGTACCCAGACTAATACAGTCACCTCCCTGATATGACTGCTGAAGACAAATGGGTGCATAAGCAAATGTGGCGAAGAAAGCTGATGGTGCCTGGCTATCAAAAGATATAGCGTCAGGAGTCTTAAAGGCTTGAAGGTAAACAAGCGGCCATCTAGCTCAGAAGCAACAAAGCCCACACCAGCCTGTGTAATCACGAGGTGTTGAAAGGAACATGTATCAGGCATCATCAGAACAAAAAATCATATCACCATGAATGAGGCAGGGAGTGTGGAGTGGAGACCTAAAGTCCATTTGTAGGCCACTGGACATCCCCTTACAGAAGGATCTCGGGGAGGAGACGAGCCAGTCAGGGTGTGATGTAGCAACGATGAAACATACAACTTTCCTCTAGTTCCTAAATGCTACCTCCTCCTCCACTATCATCATCCCAATTCTACCTTACAAATCTGGCTAGACCAGAGGATGTACACTGGTACAGATAGGAACTGGAAACAGGGAATCCAGGGTGGATGATCCCTTCAGGACCAGTGGTGTGAGCTGCAATACTGGAAGGATGGAGGGAGAATGGGTTGGAAAGGGGAAACCAATTACCAGGATCTACATGTGACCTCCTCCCTGGGGGATGGACAACAGAAAAGTGGGTGAAGGAAGATGTCGGACAGGGCAAGATATGACAAAATAATAAATTTACAAATTATCAAGGGTTCATGAGGGAGGAGGGAGGGGGGAGTGGGGATGGAGGGGAAAAAATGAGCTGATGCCAGGGGCTTAGGTGGAGAGCAAATGTTTTGAGAATGATGAGAGCAATGAATGTACTAATGTGGTTTACATAATTGATGTATGTATGGATTGTGATATAAATAAATAAACACCAAAAAAAATTTTTTTTAAGGGCTGCAGCTTTAAGTGTGGAAAGCCAAAGTTCTCACAACTGGGCAAATAGGTAATATCGTGATAAACGGAGAAAAGCTTGACATGGTCAAGGACTTTATTTTGCTTTGATCCACAATCAGTGCTCATGGAACCAGCATCAAGAAACTAAACAACATACTGCATTAGGCAAATATGCTGCACAAGACCTTTTTAGATTGTTAATGTACAAGGATATCACTTTGACGACTAAGGTGTGCCTGACTCAAGTTATGGTATTTCCAATCGCTTCATATGCAAATAAAAGTTGGACCATGAATAAGGAAACCCTAAGAAGAATTGATGCATTTTAATTATGGTATTTGTTTTGATTGACACAGTCAAATGCCTTGGCATAGACAATAAAATACAAGTATTTTATTCTCTGCTTTCTGCCAAAATCCATCCGACATTAGCAGTGATATCTATCTCTTGTTCCATATCCTCTTCTGAATCTGGCCTGAACCTCTGGCAGCTCCCTGCAACCATTACTGAATGATTTTCAGCAAAATTTTACTTGCCTTTGATATCCGTGCTAATTGTTTTATAATTTGAGCATTTTGTTGGCTCACCTTTCTTTGGAATGGATACAAATATGGATCTCTTCCAGTCAGTTAACCAAGTAGCTGTCTTCTAAATTTCCTGGCACAGACAAGTAAGTGCTTCTAGTGCTTCATCAGCTGTTGAAACATTTAAATTGGTATTCTATCAATTCCTGGAGCCTTGTTTTTGGCTTGAACTTCTTCCTTCAGTATGATTGGTTCTTGTTCATATGCTGCCTCCTGAAATGATGGGATGTCCGTCCTTTTTGGTACAATGGCTGTGTGTTCTATTTATCTTCCTTTGATGCTTCTTGTATCATTGAATATTGTGCCAATAGAATCTTTCAATATTGCAACTTGAGGCTTGACTTTTTTTCTTGAGCTTTTTCCAGTTGAGGATATGCTGAGCATGTTCTTCCCTTTTGGTTTTCTAATTCTAGATCTTTACACATTTCGTTATAAAATTCACTATGCCAAGGCATTCGACTGCGGGGATCATAACAAACTATGGATAACCTAGAGAAAAATGGGAATTTCAGAATATTTCATTGTGCTCATATGGAACCTGTACACGGATTAAGAGGCAGTTGTGCAAACAGAACATGATCTAAAATCAGAAAAGGTGTGCGTTACGGTTGTAACCTCTCATCATACTTATTCAGTCTGTATGCTGAACAAATCATCAGAGAAGCTGGATTGTATGAAGAAGAATGTGACATCAGGATTGGAGGAAAGTTTATTAACAACCTATATGCAGATGACATAACTTCGGTTGTTGAAAGTGAGGAGAATTTAAGGCACTTGCTGATGAAGATCAAGGATTACAGCCTTCAGTATGGATTACAACTCAATATAAAGAAGACCAAAATCCTCACAACTGGGCCATTAAGTAACATCTTGATAAATGGATAAAAGGTTGTGGTGGTCAAGGATTTTGTCAATGCTCATAGAAGCAGCAGTTAAGAGAACAAAAGACAAGTTGCATTAGGCAAATCTGCATGCCTCTTTAGAGTACTGAAAAGCAAGGACAGTCCTTTGAGGACTAAGACGTGCCTGACCCAAGCCATGGTATTTCCAACTACTTCATATGCTTGTAAAAGTTGGACACAGAATAAGGAAGATCGAAGAAGAATCAATGCATTTGAATTGTGGTGCTGGAGAAGAATATTCCAAGTACCATATACTGCTAAAAGAACAAATCGATTGTCTTAGAAAAAGCACAGCCAAAGTGCTCCTTAGAGGCAAGGATGGCAAGACTTCATCTTACATCTTTAGACATGTTAGGAGATACCAGACTCAGGAGAAAGACAACATGTTTGGTAAAGTAGAGGTGCAGCAAAAAAGAAGAAGGTCTTCAAGATATTGATACAGTGGCTGCAACAATGAGCTCAAGCATTGGACCACTTGGGAGGATGGCTCAGGACGGGGCAGTGTTTCACTTGGTTGTACCTAAGGGCATTATCAGTCATAACTGACTTGATGGCACCTAACAACACAATTATGGTGTTGGAGAAGAATATTGGAAATACTGTGGACTGCCAGAAGAACAAGCAAATCTGCCTTTGCATAAGTTCAGCTAGAATTCTCAAAAGCTAGGATGGTGAGACTTTGTCTCACATATTTTGGACATGTTATCAGGAGAGACCTGCCCCTGCAAAAGGACATCATGCTTGGTCAGTAGAAAAGAGGAAGACTATCAAGGAGATGGATTGGCACAGTGGCTACAACAATGGACTCAAATATAACAGCAATTGTGAAAATGGCACAGGACTGGGCAGTATTTCATAAGGTCACTATGAGTTGGAACCAACTTGATGCCACCTGACAATTACAATAAGCCATAAGAAGAGCCCCAGTGAGTTATGTGTTGGGCTGCTAACTGTAAGGTCAGCAGTTTGAACCTACTAACTGCTCTGGGAGAGAAAAGATGAGGCTTTCTGCTTCCATAGAGACTGATAGCTTCAACAACTCAAAGGGTCAGTTCTACTCTGTACTATAGGGCTACTATGAATTTGAATCAACTGTATGACAGTGAGTTTGATTTGGGGTAGGTTATAAACTGTGTGAGATTCTCCTACTATGGAAAGCAATAGTACACAAACCCTGACCACAAGCCACTTACAATCTTTTAAGAGCTATCAATGTGTAGAAATAAATTAAAATTCAGTAAGTGCAAAAATACATGTTGAAAAAGTACAGAGGTAGCAGCGGGAGGTGGGGGTGGGATGGGGAGAATTATCTGGAGTGGAAAAAGAGCACATAGAGGGCTTCCTAAATCCCAGTAGATGGGGTTATCTTTTCACACAGGAGGAGATCACCAGGCAGATGGCAAATTATTCAGGACAGCAGGGACAGCATATGCAAAGACCCAGAGAAGTGGAACAGGGGTCTATAACCAATTTAGCATTATTTCTGAAGGGTAAAATGTACACAAGAAGACTAACAGAAGGTGAAACGAGAAAGGGAGGGAGAGGTTAGACCAGGAAAGAACTGTGGGATTTAAGCCTGTCCTCCAGTAAGGAGCTATTGAAGTTTGAAAAGAGAAACATGATCAGTGTTGTGTTTGGAAGAACTTTTTGGCAGTAGTAAAGCAAATGGACTAAATGTAGAGGAAATGACGAGGAATAGAAAAGCTTTTTCTCATATTCCTCTCTGATTAATATCTCAACTGTAATCATTAATTTTTCCTAAATTGCCTTGAATTTGTCTTTGTCTTCATTTACCAATAGTGTTCTTAAGCAATTGTATGTATAAGATAATTCATCTCTCAAAGTAGATTGCAAGCTTTTTGAAATCCAAGATTGTGTCATTTCTTTCTTTCATTGTGCCTGATACAGTGCTTTGTACATCATAGGTATTCAATAAATCTTTCTTTGAAAAATAAATAATAAATAAATCTTTCTTAGAAGATCGATATTTAGTTCTCTATTATATAGTTTATTTTTGTGCTGTGGATTATGCATTTGACTAAGTGAATTAAATTGACCTTTTAGAATGTTAGTAAATAATCTTTCAGTCAGTTTTAGCCATGAACATGTACTCTTCACTTTAAATGTTTACCTTTTGTTTTCTGTACTTAAAAAAAAATCATTTTATTGGGGTCTCTTCCAGCTCTTATAACATTCCATACACTAACTATTTACCTTTTAAATGATGAAGGGGTAAATATCTTTTAGATCTCTGAAGAGAGAGAGCTGGTTATACACAGAGTTCTCATGCCTATTGAAACTTCCCATGTGTCTATTACTCACTGGACTCCTGGAGAACAGAGACCATGTCTTTCTGGGTCACCACTGTGTCTCCTGAAAGAATGAAGGAATGAAAAAGTCTTCTTTTTCATGTGTTCTATAATTGTCTTTTGTTATTTCCTACCTTAATAAATAATAGTGGGTAACCATATTGAACCAGGATTTTACTTAACCCACACATTTTCTCATTAAAATTGTACCATTAGAAAGCAAAAGAATAGGGGAGAGAGGGGGAAGAAATGGGGAGCTGATATCAGGGGCTCAAGTAGGAAGAGAATGCTTTAAAAATGATGATGGTAACAAAAAATGATGGCTGCATATGTGCAAATGTGCTTGACACACTGAATGAATGTATGGATTGTGATAAGAGATGTAAGAGCTCCCAATAAAAAAGAAAGCAAACGAATATTAGATATAGGAGATTTTTCATTTACAGACTCAATGTATTATGTATTAAATCATGTGAAATTAGAAACCATCCTTGTCAATACAATTGTCAAATCTAGCTCTTCTTTACATACAGATTTAACAGTAATGCTTTTTTATATCTATATCAGGTATGCGAGAAAGAATTATACTGCATGGACTGGGCAGTTAAAATGATGCAGAGAGTCTGTAGAGTCTTTAGCACTCCAGTAGAAAGGAATAACTTCCTGCAGAGTGTGGCAAACGCGTTTGCATGTATTATAATGGAAATGTTGCAGTCAGTTCTGTCTGGTGAGTACACTGTACAATGGAGCACAGGTGTGAGTTAAAATGCATGCTAGTCTCCACTTAAGAGAGCTAATTCTGTGCAGACTTTTCTTTCTGAACTAACAGTAGAATGAGCAAGCAAATCATTTTGGTTTTTTTATGAGCTATACTTAGTTCCTGGTTTTTGTCATCTTTATAATCTTGTACTGATTTTAATGGAATATGTAAAGTTTAACAGTGTACTTTGAAAGGAATCAATTACAGTTTTACACAGGTAAAAAGTTAACTAGCTCGTGTTTAGCAATTGCATCATTATCATCGTCATGACAATACCTTAGATTTATAATTTTCAGCATACTTTTACATATATTATTTGGTAGTTTTATTAAGCAGCTAACATGATAATTATCCCTATTTCACAGATGAGAAAACTAAGCTTTATAAAAATCACCCTCCCTTCCCAGCATCATAAAGTTATAACCAATAAAACCTGAACCAGCAGACTACTCATTTGTGTTTTAATCCAATATTCTTATATAATTCCATGATTTCAACAATTAACATTTGCTTAGTAAAGGTCACTAATTACTCTCCTGTTAAAATATTACAAGGGAAAATTGGAATGTCTTATGTGTCAGATAAATCATATCTATATCTATATCAATGTAACTGTCATTTTCTTTCCCTACTGTATTTTTGTGTACGGCATACAGGAGAGCGTGATGAAGACGACAGGAACTTTTTAAATTTGTTCCATCTTGTGCACGCACAGGCCAACTTCCATAAGGAGGTCCTGTGTTTGACCCTGAATACACTCTCTCTCTAGGCACTCGGAAAGCCGTGTCTTTAGAGAATACCTCACTGAACTAGGAAATGGCTACTTTTTCACATCCAAAGGATAGCATCTCTGGGACTTTTCCTATGTAAATCGCCGAATAATTCATCATGTGTATAGAACTTCAGAAGCAATTGTTTATGCCAACATTCATGTAAAAATAACAGGCAGATTCAAGAACGTAATGAGGTTCTCTGAAAAACAAACTGTGTCTCCAGATTTTGATCAACTTAATACCAAACTGAAATGATTGCTAACTGTACAACAACCCAACTTGTCTGTGCTAAATGGAGAGCAGACCCAAATTCACTAAATAGTATGTATCTGTTCACTTTGCTTGGGTTGTGTAGACATAGCCTGGAGTGTTTCGTGAAGACTTGCAATATGGTGTTTTGGAATGTGCAGAATATAAATCACATCCTTTGCCACCTTCTTGGCATATGATTATAAAGAATATTACATTTTTGTTCATGTTTGCATGAATAGCTCAAAAACCAAAGGAAATTTGTGTGTATATAAATGTATATGTGGATCTGTGAGTATACACACATACACACCACACACACAGGTTTCAAAAAGTTTATAGAAAAATAGAATGAAAAGAAAATGTATATTTTCCACCAACTTTTTGAAGACCCCTCATATATACTGATCCTTCTTTAAGATGCATCATACAAAGTATCTATAAATAAAGGAAAATGCATATTGTCTCAACATAGTAAAACCATTTTCATACTTTCCTGAGGAATAGAGTAACATGTTTCAAATAAGGGAAAATATAACATGAAATAGAGGTATTTGGTCAGAACCATCTTCACAAGTGATTTGTACTCCTTCCTAAAGGTTTTCTGTCTCAGAAAGAGGGGTTTGTTGAAGGACTGGAAGTATGAATGATTAGAGCAGTGCAGGAAGGGAGGGCAACTGCTTTTCATGGAATTTAATGGACTGATAGAAGCTCCAGGACTTTTCAGCCTGGCTAGCATCTGCTACCACCACTTTTACTACTAAAGCAAAAATAAATAAAAATGAAAAACACTGCCTAAGGTGCTGATATAAAAATTAAAAACACTGCCTAAGGGGCTGAAATAACTCTAAAGCCTGGATTTTCTTATCTGTGGGTTTGCTCACTTTATCTCTGGGAGGACCTGCCCCTCACACTGGACTTTGCACCAGCAAGCTTCCTTTCCCAAGCTTTTGCTTGCAGTCACTTCTGGAGTGGATGAAAGGAAACAACATTCAAAGACGACAGGGAAAAAATCCTAGCAGAATTGGGGTATAAATAATGGGAAATTCTCAAGTATTTGGCTACAGAAGATGGGTATACTGAGGTAGTGAGAGGTTTAATTGGATTGAGAACACATGAAAATTATAAAGAAAATATGAATTGTGGTAACATTTTAGTACATGGGTAGTTTCAAAATTGAATTTAAAAAATAATGGAATTATTGAATTTCAGGAAAGTATTTATTTTCACTTTTGGAAAGTAAGAAATTAACCTGCCTCTCAATGATAAAAAGTTTACCTGAAAATGTCTTAGAGCATTTCACAAAGATAAAAGAAAAGATTGTTCAATCATAATTGGGAGTGGAGATTTTGTTCTCCATAGCTTAGTATTTGCATTTTTGTACAGAAAGTTTTTGCTTTTATCCTGATTTTATTTTCTTGTCGATTTAAGAATTTGCCAAAAACTAAATTATGAGGAATAAAAATGGGAAGATGCCAGGGTATAAAGTAGCACCTTAGACTTTTCTTCTGTCTCTTCTCCCTTTCCCCGTCCTCATTCCCGTCTTTTCCTTATTCCTCCTTCTCTCTTTCTCTTTCTCTCATGCTCTCTTTTTTGCCCACACATGCTTTGGAAAACCTAGTAGATTTATTTATCCAAATAAGTTGAGAATATGCCCATTTAGATTATTGGAGAGGGGGAGAAATAAAAAAGTAAACATTTAAATATAGTGAATATTTTAAATATATACTAGGAGATATCACATTTTATTCTTTTAGAGAAAAAAAAATTGACATGGTGAAGCATGCTTGAATTATCATTTTAAATTATCCAGGTCTCCACAGCAGTAATTTTTAGCAAATGCACAAAAGAAGCATACTTCAACTTTAAACATCTTTTAATCTAGATTTTGAATTTCATTACACACTTGACATGGTAGGTGCTGTAAATTTTTTCAAACTTAAATTACTTCATGATTTTAATAACAGTGAAATTACTGTTTCACCCTCCCCAGAAATTGAAAATATCTAAAACATGGATCCTTTCTTTGGGCACAGAGATAAATGATATGATTTTGCTACCAATAAACAATTACACTAACAAATTTTCATTGTATTATTAATAGATTGAAATCAAATTTATAATTTCCTCAATTCAGTCATTCAGTTTTTTGTCCTCAGAAAAAGGTCTGATATGCAACTTTAAAGTTAAGGTTAACTTGCATGAGCATGTATTATTATTACTATTAGCAGTGATGTAGAGACAGATCGCCTCCTAAAAATAAACACTTGCAAAATGAATGCTTAAAAACATTAGGATAGGATTAATTTCAAACTCTACAGCAGTCATAAATTATATAAGCCACTAACAGGTAAGATTAGTTACCCTTTATTATCGTCATTTATTCCCTCCACCTGCTGATTTCAGTTTGTAGATGATTTTTACTTCTATTAAAAAGGTACAGCACATCATTTCTATTTATTATTATTTCTACATATATATACAATGCCTATTACATTCACAACAAACTATGCTATTTTTCTTAGAAACTAAAGTTTATATCTTAAGCTAAGTACTTTCATAAATACCTTATGAAGCCATAGGAACCTCTACTATTACTTAACATTTTGAATGATTTCTTCTGCCCTCCTGTGCCCCTGCCTCAACTGTATCATATTCATAATGCAGGCAGTACATTATTGTGGTTCGGAATTCGCTCATGCTATGATTTACCCAGACACTCTCAGCAGCATGAACAGTAGGCAGCTGCCTCCCTTTCATGTCTTATGGAGACTTAGTTCATGCTTCCAGTTCTCTGTAATAACAGCCATTGTATTGCCAGGTTAATTGCTCACCTTTGGAGCCTAGAGCAAGTGTGGGTGCCTGACAAACAGTGGAATGGGAAGATGAAAACAACGGCGGTTACTCTCTTCATCTGGTGGGATTGAAGAGCTAGCCTCTTTCTGTGAAGAGCACTCATTGCAGTTGCATGGGGTTTTGTGCCGATGAATACTGAAAAGTGTGAAAGACAAAGCTGCTATCAAAACCTCTTTGGTTATTGGACACCTTACTAACAAAGTGACTTCTTTAGCAATTTCACTGGCAAATAGTTATGAAACCTGTAAAGATTGAAGATATTTTTTACATTGCTCCTTGCTTTATTGGGACTTCACTAAGATTGGAAAGATGACCTGAATAAACACAGATCTGCTTTTCCATCAAGAAAGCAAATATAACTACAAAAATGCATCAAGTAACAGGAGTCTTTATAAGCAAATTGTTTAGCCCTTAAAGGGCTCTTTACAAAAAAAAAAAGTTAATACTTGTAGACATTCTGAGATCACTACTTTCTTAAAAGTTCATAAAACTGGAAAATGTGCATTGTTATTTATAAAGTTTTATATTTGTGGAAAAATACATAAGTTGATGTTTTTGATGCCTAAATATTTGCTACTTGCTATTTACATTTACTTGTATTAATAAAATTAAAAGGAGACATATTTCCAGCGTGTCCAGAGTTTGCCATGAAAATCATTGAGTGTATAATTCCTCTACATATTTATAAGAAAACTTATTTTATATATGCTATAATAGCTATGCCATAGTAACAAAATGAAATGTTTTAATGTAGAATAATGTTGCAGTTACCCATATATTAAAGCATATGCTTAATATTATAATGTGTCAAAATTAAATAATTTGACCTAACAGCAATACCTAGTAAACAGAACAGTAATCTATAAATAGAACACTAATCTATAGTCTGCTATTTTACTCAGACACAAAATCTTCAATTAATACTTGCTACATTATAAATGCTACAATTATTTCAGTTTAACACCAGTTAAAAAAATCAAAATATATAATTAAGTATTGTAGATTACCTGAAATTTCCCGTAATGAAAAGATTTTGCAGTATTTTTCTAAGAAACAATTATTAGATATTTCTAAATTTATTTTCCTTATCATGTTTGATCTTGTAATGGAAGTTGTGCCAATGACTTCTTGTGTGTCCCGCTTTATATATAACTTAAATGTTATCATTTGTTTAAAGGAGAAAGAGAAAAACTTACTTTAAAAAGGCTGTTCTAGACTTAGCAAATATCTGGAATTTTATAAAGCCAAAGCATATCGCTTACATAGACAATTTTCCGTATCAACTATGCTTTCATCTCTTAGTAGGGAAATGTAATACCATTATCTTTGAATAATGTAAAATCCATATAATATTTTAAGAGTTTTGGAAATCTAATTAGGACACTAAAGTAAGCCCTTTGAAAGTAAGCACATTTTTGAAATTTAATGTCATATCAAGTCATGTTTCAAACTCACAGTTTGGTCTTCATTCCATCTACCCAGAACAATGAGTCTTAGATCTTTCTAACTTAGTAACATTGATCTTTCCATTTTTTAACTGTTAAAATTTCCAAAATAGATTCTTTTAGTGATCTTTTCTTCTGAAATAAAATATATCATTTTCCCACATTTATTTAATCAAGAAAGCAAGTATTCTTATAACAATTCTTAGAATTCTATCATACTAATTTTTTAAAGCCATTTATAATCACTCAGAAATGTTCTTGGTACAATGATATAAGATATGATTGCCCTAAGATATAGACTTATAAAATGCATATAAATTGTATATTATGGAAGTATGTTTTTTGTAAGTTTTTTATAATCATTTTATTGGGGGCTCATACAGTTCTTATCACAATACATACATACATACATTGTGTCAAGCACATTTGTACATTTGTTGCCATCATCATTCTCAAAACATTTGCTTTCTACTTGAGCCCTTGATATCAGCTCCTCATTTTTCCCCCTCTCTCCCCACTCCCCCCTATGGAAGTAACTTATAAATTGTTTTAGGGTGCTAATATACATAGCTTTAATATGAAGCTAAAAACAAATGATGAAAGTAGTTAAAACTCTTATGAGTTATGAAGCTGTAAATATAAACACAGTCATAAGAATTATTTCAAAATGTTTTTTTAAAACCATGATTTATGACAGGTTACTGAAATCTCTCTCCTTATATTGTCCCCAATACTGGCGGTAGATATAACTGGTGTCTAACAAAAATTGGCTGTTTTTCATGGAATTAACGTGGTGTTATTTCAACTTCATATGGCTATCGTCTGAAGAGCCATGTCCTCATGTAAGGCTTCAATTGAGCTTGTTTACTTAGAGACTCTACCATGAAGCTCTGCACCACCACAATGAACTGTGCTAGCTGGACCTCCCCAAAATACTGCCACCACCTGAGTCACGTGGATAAGGGCACAGGGCTGCTGTCTTGGCTTTAACTGGAAATTTTAAGTTTGAGACACAAGGATCAGGTAAATATTATTTTGGGAAATGTTACTTCAAGGATTCCACAGATAACCGAAGATCATTACTAAATATATTACTTTTCAGAGCCATGCTTCTTACATGAAAGTATGCCAGATACCTTATCTTTGCCACCTGCCACCATACAGTATTATGCTTCTCAGTATTTCCTGAACAGCTTACACAGATATCTACGTTGTCATTTTCTCTTCAAAATGTGGCTGTTGGTACTAGAGAAGATGTTCAATGTTCATTATTAAGTGTCATGCTGCAGAGCGCAAGTAGGAAAAGGAACTACAACTGGTGAACCATGAAGAGTTTCTTCCATGAGCAGTGTGCTACCAAAAAAAAAAAAAAGTAGTTTCCAACAATGCATTTAAAAATTCTAGAATTTCAAAATGGAAAGGGGTATTAACAATCTTCTAATCCCTTTCATTTGACAACCAAGCAGTCCTAAAGGTTAAGTGACATATTGGCAGTTACACAATTATTTGCAGAGACAAAGCTTCCAGAACTGTTTTCTTGGTCAGAACTGAAAAATCCTCTTTTAATTGTAACATGTCAAATTGCCTTGTTTTTCTATTTAAAACATAGAAGTTGAACACAACACTACTGACAATAAAAACTATTAATCTCACCTCTTTGTTTATTGTTAAGCTAGAAAGGAGAAGTATATGTTGAATAATTATGAACTTTTCAAATGAAAAGGAACCAATTCTACCCTGGACCCCAGATTATATTTATGATTTCTTCAATTCTACTTGGACAGAGAAACACGTTGATTTTTTTTTTCCCCAGAGAAGGAACATTTGACAATATAAATGGGGATAAGAGAGAGATTTTTTTCTCTAATAATAAGCATAGCGATTTTACTTCAGTGATTTCTAATTCAGCCAGGCACTTAAAAATGTCTCAAAGCAAAAAGCTGGTATACATGTGGTAAGAGGTGGGGGAAGAAGTGATCAATCTTAAAAACGCAGATGACGCGTTATTTCTGGCTAGACGGTGAGACAAAGGAAACCACACAACCCCAGTTTGCACACTCTGCAGACCGTGATAAAATTACTGCTTTGGATACACAACTGCTCCTAAGTTTCCCAGGAAGCTCCTCTGTATGTGAGAAAGAACAGTTTAGCATAATGCACATTACTGGCAGGTAGACCTAAGGAAAGGCTGTATCAAAAAGAATCTGTGAGCAGTTATCCGTGGTAACTTTAAGGAGTACATTTTAGTCTCTGCTCTTTCCAGTTCAAAGCACACAGCATCGCCAGCCTTGTTCATAGATTCCTGACGTCCAAGTCGACAACCTCTGTCTCTAAGCTCAAAAGGCCCCTTGCTTGCCAGCGGTTAATCATATCCGGAAGGCTCTGGAAGAGGTCGGCCTCTTGATGAACTGCAGGCCAGGAGCTGGGGAAACCCAGAAACAAGGCTCAGAGTCAAGCAGGTGCTCCCAAGAAAAGAACTCGAAATTCCTCCCTGGACCCCGGTCAAATCCCGCAAAAGAAAATACATATTTCCACCCTCCCTGCCCCTCCCTCAAGTGCATGTCATTTACTCACACCCTCAAGTGCGAATGAGTCCCCAACGATGCAAAGCACCCTGTAAGCCACTGTGCTGACATGCACAGATGTGCTTGAAAGGGCCGCCCGTTTGAACAAAACCAGGGAACTGATCCATGCACACCAACTCACCCGACTCTAAACCCTTGGCATTGTGGGTTTTATCTAAAAATCACATTTTAAATTAAGTCCCATTAAAGAAAGTTGCCATAACAATTATTTTCAAAGTGGTCTGAGAAATACCACATCAATGCATCTGAGGAAGTCGGGGCAGGGAGAAATGAAAAAACAAGCTCTCTCTCTTTGGTGTTTTGAGTCAATACCCGGAATAATGAGCAGAAGCACAAATCCACCGGTGCGTCCGCGGGCGGGGTGCTCGGCCGCCGTTCTGCCTCATCGTTCTCCTCCGAGCCTCCCAGGCAACTAAAGCAGATAGATAATGTAGGACAGGATGACCAGGCCTATGATGGCGAAAAACATCAGGATGAAAATATCCAGCATGATGGAGCCCGGGAAACGTCGGCTGTGGGCCTGGAGGTCGCCGTTGGCGTGGAGAAATGGCTCCCTCCTACCTTCACCGAGGCTCGCCCTTCGCCTTCCCCTCCCCCTGGAGTCCTGGGCCTAAGGGATGCCGCAGCTCCATCAGCAGCCTCGGCCCCTCTCCCTGCTTCTCCACCCCCCTCCATCTCTGTCAACCAATCAAAACCCCGGGGTGGGGAACCAGGGAACTGCTAGATTTAGACCAGGCAAAATCAAAGAGATTCCATTTCTTCCCAAGAACCTTATGCTCAGAATCTAAACGCAGTCGGCGTGATGTCGGTGTAGGAGGGGAGCTGCTCCCTATCCGGATCCTGGAATGAATTAACTGCTCCTCTGCTTCCTCTTTCCTTTCTGGAAAATTGCGGCCACAGAATAAGAATAGCAGGGAGTTGGCTGCTGGGTCATCCGCACGTTCCACCGGGCCCTTTCCACCACCTGTCTGTCGGCGAGTTTGCTGTAGCGTGACAATTTGTGTGCTGCCTGCTGGAAACTGCCACCCCTATGTCACTCGTGGTGGTCAGGTTCCAGCTGGTGATGGAGAGCTTCCGAACGGAGGCCGCCTGGAAGGCAAGGCCTGGAGCCTGGAAGCAGTGTCCTGCAGCTGTCTCGAGAACCTGTTGGAATGCCTCAAAATGCACAATGGCCGTCAGGACAGAGGCAAGTCTACCAAGGGCTGCCAAGATGGCACAGGCCGTTGTACCTGGGATTGTCATGAAATGAAGCAGACCAATGGCGGCAACTCACAACGGTCACTTTACAGAGTGAGAATGGACAACGATCTCACCTGAATCTCAGCTGGCAACCCTGGGGATGACACTCGCATCTACGGGATCCCCACACTGCACTGCGCTAGATATCGTACACAGGATATAATGTCCACCTCCCACCACTCTTGTGAGTCCTGGCAGTGTAGTGGTTACGAGTTGGGCTTCTACCCGTACAGTTGGCAGTTTGAAACCACCAGCAGCTGCCTGGGAGGAAGACTGGGCTTGCTACTCCTGTGAACAGTTACAGTCTAGGACACCCATAGGGAGTCACTCACTGTGAGTCAATATTGACTCAATGGCAGTCAGTGTTTTGGTTTTAACCACTTATTGGGAGGCTCTGGGATTGCCTGCTGTTCTTTAGCTTGGACATGGCTGCGAGCAAGATTCAAACGTGGGCTTGGCTGACCCGACAGTCCATCCTGTTTCTACAAGCACACCTGTCTGAAAGGCTAGTGCTGTTAGCTGCGCTGCTTTGCTCTGCTCGCAGCCACATCCAGTCCCTGCAGCCTCTCCATCCCATCCGTCTCTCCACAGTCGTCACACACAGGCTCGTCTCCTCTTGCATCCTCTCTGGAGATCTCAGCTCAGGATGTACAGAGAGAGGACACTAAGGAATGCCATTAGACCCAGCCCTGTGCAAGGGAGAGCGTATAGAAGCGAAAACGGAAGAGTGGTTCCCTCTAGGAAGGACGGAGGATTGGTGCTGTATTTCTTACGCTGGATGGCGAGTGCTCCGTTAGCTCTTGTGTTGTTCAGTTTCCTGTTCTCGTTGCCTTCTTAATTGGGGGGGGGGGGGCAGTGACATCTCAGAGGCTTTCTCTTTGGTGCCAAACTGAATCGCTTTCTTTCTTTCTTTCTTTCTTTCTTTTCTTGAAGGACCAGGAACTTAGGCCACTTCTGGGAGTCCTCCCATGGGCTCACCTCCAGAAGGCAGGGCCTACACTCAGCTTCCTGGGAGCGGAGACGCATGCCTAGGTCCTCAGAGCCTCCAACCCTCTGATGGCGAAGGAGGTCCTATGGAGAGGGGACGACAGTTTTGTAGACATAAGTGGGTAGGTGACAAGAGGCACCCTTTGTAAGAATCCCCTTCTGCTGGGAAAGTATTCCGCAGCCAGCACCTTTGGAGGGGTGCAGGGGTCTGCAGTGGCTCTAATTACACTGTGCAATGATGCCAGGACCACTGCCCCCGCATCTTTAGCTCGGCTGACTTTAGTTACGGATTAGTCTCCCGATGATCAATGTTCCCTTCAGGGAAAACCCCTTTCCACCCTGCTGCTGGCCCACAGGGGAAACGCCTCTCTCCCCAATGGCTGGAGGTGAGACCGACTGACTGGGCGCCCTCCTTGACCACTGCCCCTTCCCCACCCCCACAGCAAGAAGGGAGGCATCTGGCCTTCCCATCAGAGATCTCAGACTCTGGGCACCTGGAGCAATGAGGTGGGGGAGGGGAGCTGATATCAGCTGCCAGAGGCATGGGCACGGTGGTGGCCCAGTGCGGCTAAAGGCAGCAGGCACAGCCCTGGGCAGCCCAAGACCCACAGCTTTGCTCCTATCTCTGTGCCTTGCACCAAACTACTCCGCTTTTCTGGTTTCAATGCCGAGACTGTAAGGCAGGCCTCCCCTGAAGAGCGGAGACAGAATGTGTTGTGAAAGATTACATGTGCATGGCCTTGTGAGCACTGGTTTGGGTTGCCAGACCACCTGATAAGACAGGGCTCACCCTGGAGAATCCCCCTCACCTTCCCGCCTGTCCCTCTGTCATTTTGTGCACCAAACATGTGTCAAGGGCTTATAGGCCGGGCAGTGGCAGAGTGCCATGATCACTCCATTCCCAAGCATTCATTCAACCAATCCTTATTGAACAGGGATACATGCTGGTCCCTGGGCAGGTACTGGGAATATAAAACTGAATTAGTCCCATTGTTAGCCCTCAGGGTCCCCAGGTGGCACAAAGGTTAAGCACTCAACAACTAGATGGCCAGCTTTGACCCCACCCAGTCACCTTAGAAGGCAAGCTTGTAGATCAGCGGCCCAAAGGTCCCAGTGTTGAAGCCCCCATGGTGCAGCCATGCTCTGTCCCCATGGGATCACCATGAGTCTGAATTAGTGAGTGTGGTAGTTATATCATCTATTGTCAATTTGAGACTTAAGAGTGAAGGGATGGAGTTTAGCCTATCAATCAGGTAGCAGCTTGATAATCTCGATTGGAGGCACTAAGGAGATAAATAACTGGCTGGTGGGGGGACACTCGCTCACTCCCTGCAAGACATTCCTGTTGACAAGACACATGGAGCTATGCTACAGCCCTGGAGCTGAAGGAGCCTGCTAGCACTGAGATGCTTCCACCGCCACTGGATCCACAAGACTTCCCACCCACTGGCTGTGATCTTTCTTCCTGCATTCGGTGCCATTGCATGTGCTGCGTGAGTCTGAAGAAGAATGTATAGGCTGGTGACGGACATTGAGTTAATATCAGCTATATGAACTTGGCCTGGACTGGGCTGGGGTGTTTTCTTAATGTAAAGTTCTCTCACCCACACAAGTATCTCTGGATTTGTTTAGTCAACCCTAACTAACACAGTGGCCACCAACTACCAGGTCCTCAGGAGTATTTGGGGCAGCAGCAGCAGCATAAGTTAATTGGTCCAGGCAGTGGGGGTATTCCCCAACTGAGCCCAGGGGAGATGCAAGATGAACAGGCAGTGCCAGGAGCAGGCTGCTGGGCCCAGAGTTCCCAAAGACAAAATTAGGGACCACAGGCTCAGCTGGAAACAAGGCAAGCTGTTCCTCCCTCTCAGGACCCAGCCTCAGCAGTCATCCTTCCTTCTGAGGGGCAGCAGGGCACCCTGGGGGGGAACTGGTCAACGCCCCCAAGCCGGTGAGACTCCAGTACCTCTCCCCGCACCACCAGCAATTCAAGAGCCAGAGAGGAAGCCAAGTCAGCAGGTAAAAATTATATTTTTATTTGAGTCACCAGGAGAAAGATTCACTTGTGGTTCAAGTCAAGTGTTCAGAATAAACAGGCCAGAGAGATGTGATCCCGAAGACAAGCCCATAGGGAGGGTGGGGGTGGGGGTGGGGACCAAAACAGACCAAAGAAGACAACAATCCCTTATAAAAAGATGAATGGACGGTGGCGTCACGGGAGAGCACGCACACACATACACACACACACAGTGAAATGTTCGGACAGAGGCAAATTTCATATGATCATTTCTGTTTTAAATACAGGTTTGTGGGGTGGTAGTTGTGTGTTTTCTCTTCCAGCGATTGAAAATAAAAAGGGGGGAGGGGCCCAAAAGTGCACGTGAAGGGAAAAGGCAGAAATTAAGCCATAAAGTCGTTTTCCCTGGAGGACGTGAGGGAGAGAACCGGGAGTCCTGCTGGGAGAACCCCCATGGCTCCCACTGGCTTTCTTGGATTTTCTTATTGGTCCACTGACCTGACAGTCACTCCTAGCTTTGACGCACCTTCCCTCCTGGGATTACACTGACCAAAAGACCTCTGTGCTGTCAGAACAGCAGGGACTCAGCCCAGGCCTCAGGCTTCTGTGCTTTTAGGGGTGGAACGTTCTGGAAAGGAGCAAGGGCTCCCAGCAGCCCCTGGGTCCCTCAGCACCAGTGGGATGGCCCCTCCTCTCTCTGGGGGGTGCGTAAGAAAACGTCCCCTCTGTTTTTAGGGTAGGGGGAGTACAAGGGCAGGCAGCAAGATTCCAGAGGCCTTGACCTGTTTCGGAAGGTAAATTTGGCGTAACGAAAATGGGGTGCTTCCTGTCCTCCAAGTCCTCCCTCGTGAGGGGAGGTAGAGCCTCTCCCCGAATCACTACCCTTCCAACCTCAGATTCTCCTGACAAATGTGTCCCTGACCTTTGGTCCCAGAACCTACATTGTGCTTTAAGATTAAGAAGCAACGGACTGGATCTGCCTTCCCCAAGGCTCCCGCGACCACAGATCAGAGCCTCTCTGCGTCCCTCGCTCCCAAGCTGCCCCAAATACCAGGCACCCCTCCTGCTTCTACCTCCCACCTCAAAAGGAAAAGGAGGGTGGTCAGGCAGCAGCTGCTCCCCCAGGCAGTCCCTTTCTCACCCCGCAGATTTGAGGAAAATATCCCCCGAATCAGCGAACAAGCAGTTGATAAAACCACCCGTGACAGCTTGGTTGAACATGCCCCGCCACACGTTCAGGTCCCCCACCTCCCCAAAGGCCTGCAGGGAACAAGTACACAAAGGGGCAAACTGCCCACTGTGGGACGCGGCTGGGCTATCACAGGGAGATGACAGTGTGGGGGGGAGGGCGCAGAAGGGTGGCGGGAAGGACCAGAGATGAATACAGCCAGGCAAGGGCTGACACAGCTGCCGATGAGCGAGGGAAGGAACCTGGAAATAGCACCGCCACTTCCTTCCCCTCCTGGAGCCCGGGCTTCCAGTTATGTAGCCCTGGGACCCCCCTCTGTTCCAAGGGGAGGGGGCCTGAGGGGAGAGACCCCCAGAGGGAGATGCCCAAGAGGAAAGGGAAGGATTTCAACTCAACACAGAAGGAACCAGGCTCTCCCAGGGTCCTCTGCTCCCACTGAGGGTTTGGAAGAAAGCATCAGTGGAAGATGGTTCCAGGGATACACACACACACACACACACACACTTAAGAGACACGCACGCTCCCTCTTCCACGCAGGCCGTGCCCAGGAGACACACAGGTTCCTGCTGGCTTTGCCCATTTGGCTTTGGGCCGGGAGGGAAGGTTATGGAAGGCATCTTCCCATGGGGGTCCGGAGGAGCAGCCCAGCTGAGCCAGATCACAGGGGGAAATGCAGGAGCAGAGGGACCCCAAGGCTTCCTTGCCCACCTGTTAAGACTCTGGGTTTCCTCCAAAGAACCAGGGGACCCCGAAGCCTGGGGGGTGAGGAGGGAAAAGCGCTGTGGGAGGGAACCCCCTATGCCCCTCCTCCCTCACAGCTCTCCCAGCATCACGAAAGGCAAGAACAGGAGCCGTGCCTGCTCTTGGCCTCTGCCAGGTCTGCATGGGCAGGAGGGCAGAATTCACAGTGAGAAGACCACATGTGTGTGTGTGAGGGGGAGTGTTGATGAACCTCAACTCAGGAGCTTTACTCCCCCCTTTTATTGTCCTTGAGAGAGGGAGGGGGAGAGGGCCAGGAGGAAGCCCTGGGGTGTCCCTGGCAGCCCTATCTTTGAGAGGCAGAGGAAAAGCCCATCACGCAGGTCACTACACAACAGCAGCCCTGTCCCCGCCCCCAGGGCTGGACCCCACTCCCCACCATGGGGATCCGGGTGCTCAACTTGGTCCCAGAATGTTTGGGTGCGTCAGGGGGTGGACAGCAGAGGCTGGGGGCAGGGGCGGAGGCTTGCCACCCATCGCAGCCCAGCCCTACAGGCAACGCCCGCCCTCCGCAGAGAGAAAGCCCAGAGGATGGTCAAGGGGGACCCCAGCCAGAGGATGGAGCCCCAGAGGGAGGCAGAGCGAGGCTGCAGTTGGCGAAAGAAGCTGGGAAGGAGGTGGAAGAAACAAGCTGTCACAGACTGAAAACAACAAAACAAAACTGAGACTCCCAAGGGACGGACAGATGGGACGGAGCCGGCCTCAGGACAGATGCGATGCTGTGGAATGCGCTGAAGATGGGAGGGTGGGGCAGGGGTGCCACCAGCCGGCCGGGCTCAGATGGCCTCCACGTAGTTGGCAGGCAGCATGCCTGTGTCGCCGGTGCGCTCCACGGTCCCATACATCCAGCCGTCGTCGATCTGCTGCACGTTGACGATGGTGTCTCCGTCTTGGAAGGAGACCTCGTCTTCGTCGGCCGCGCTGTAGTCGTACACGGCGCGGTACCGCTTCTGAGGGCAGGGCAGGGGAGGGGATCGGAGCGCAGTCAGCCGGGGGGCAAGGGACTCATTTATTTTCTTTTCTTTTCTTTTCTGGGGGAGGGGCTGTCACAGAACCATTTCTTAGGACCTAACGCCTCTATCTTGCGTTCTGGGAACAATCTGCACCTGCACCTCCTCTGAAGGAGCCAAGAAGCGCCCCACTGGTGTTGTGGTTAAGTTCACGGTTGAAGAACCTTGGACCCCAGCAGCAGCTTCGGGAGAATAAAGACCTGCTCCAGTAAGGCTGGGGCCCTTGCACCCTGTCCTATAAGGTGTCGCTAAGCGTTGTTGGAATTGACTGGATGGCACCCAACAAGAAAGCCAAGGGCTGGGCACCGAGACCACGATAGGTGCTGCTCAACACCAGGGCAGTCAGGTTCGGGGGCACGATGCCGGGCACTGCGTGAATCTTTACATGCCCTCTCAGTTGCTGTCTGTATTAAGGTAAGCACCAGCATGTTCCTCTCGAAGCTGCGGTGAGTCGGGGGGCTTCTCTACCCAGTTCCAGGCAAAGCCCTTTTCTCTTTTCTCGGGAGAGACATCTCCAGGTGACACAACAGGCGTTCACTAATAGACCCTACCCGCCAAAGCCCAACCCTAAAAAAACAAAACCTATGCACGACGCTAGGGAGCGCACCTGGACTACATCAGCGGTCCTGGAGGCGGACATCAACCGGATGTCCCCCCACCTTTGTTGTCCCCGCATAGGCCCTGGGGTCTCTGTGTGGGCTGGGGTAGCAGCAGGCTAAGTCCTCCTCCATTGTTGGGACTGGGGGAGGGAGGGTCTTGGAGCCCACAGGGCTCTCCTTATAGATGAGACACCGACCCTTAGCTAAGGCACACATAACCCAGGTTGGAACTCAGAACCCCAATCTCCCTGCCCATGACGCCACCTTTGTCTCAGCCAGAATGGGGAGACCCCTGTCACCAGGAGATCGGCAATCGGGCCAGGGTTCAAAGTCAGGTGAAGCCAGGCCTCCTGGGTGGGGTCCCATGAGCTGTATCCATGGGGTCTTCGCTCAGGCCCACCCACCTGGGGCTCCAGGATCCCTCCCCCTCCAGGCTGGCACTCACCCCGCCCCCGCCTGGGGCGCTGCGCTGTACAGAGCCCGGGGCTGCGTGCTCCTTGTAACCACCGTAGGACTGGGCCAGGGGCGGCTGCTGCGGCTGCTGGTACACTGCAGGGCAAGCAGACAGACTTCCAGAGACGGCCCTGCCCACCCCTCCCTTGCCGAAGCCCAGCTCGCATCCCACACCCCTCACCCTGTGACCTACCACCCCTTGCCCAGAGGTTTCTGTCTACAACTACGTGTGCACATTTGCAGAGGGTCACCGATCATGGAGCAGGCTCAGTGTCCCATCCATCCCACAGGGACCTCCAGTGGCGCCCCCCTCCCCCCCCAGCTGGACCTGGAGCAACCATTCCATCTGTCTGTGGTGTGGACAGGGCTTCTTTCCAGCCACCCCTCTGGCCCTCACCTGGGGCGCTGGTCGGGATGTGGTGTGGCGGCTGCTGCTCTTGGGGCCGCCGGTAGCTGCCGCCGTCATGGGAGTCCCTGCGCTCAGGCTCCGTGCCCTCACCCCCACTGGGGCCCATGCGGCTCTTCTCAAACTCCTCGTGGTACTTGATCTATGAGGGCAGAAGGTACCGGGTGAACGATCCCAGCGCAAACCCACCGGGGCCCTTCTGTTGGGGGTTTGGCCTGGGAGCGCTCACTGAATTTGGGGCCTCCCATCTATCGCCAGAGCACGCAAGACAGCTGCGGTGAATGTGACCAGTGTCCACCACTGGGCAGTGGGTCCTGGAAGGTGGTGAAGGACCCTTGCTTTGTGACTCCAGGGCATGGTGCCCAGGCACTGTGCTGAGGGGTGGTCTGAACTGAACAGACCAGCACCCTGGAGGCCCTCCAGAGCTGGGATCCTCAAAGGCTCACCTTGAGACCGATTCCTTCTGAACCACCTGGGCTGCCCATCAGGACACAGGTTTCACAGAAGCTATACAACCAGAGCTCAAAACCCAAACTCACTGGCATCGAATCAACGCTGACTCAGCGACCCTGTAGGACAGGGGGGAACTGGCCCTGTGGGCTTCCAAGATGGTAATTCCTTATGGGAGTAGAAAGCCTCATCCATCTCCCACAGAGAGGCTGGTGGTTTGGAACTACTCTCCGGGCCAAATCTGTTCCAAGGTCTCTTTGTAAAAGGCCCATGAGCTAAGAGCCATGAGACAGTGAAGGTTTATTGTGCCACCCTGGCCAATGAACACATGTGGGGTTAATTGAAGGGCAGAGCCTCACCTTTCTGGTGGTCTCTTGTTCTCTGATGGTCGGACCAGTGTGTGGCTGCCTTAGCTAGTTCTCTGCCTCAGCTGGCAAGGCCCACTTCCTGTGAGCCTTGGACCTATCCCGATGCAGCCCTGGGTGATGGAGAAGCCACGTGGAGACCCCTGCCAGCGCTGAGATGCTTACACGCTCACTGATTCGGCTTTCCTCCTGCAGTCGGCATCACTGCGTGTGTTTTGTAAGTTTCAGGAGGACTTTGTAGATCGGTGTCGGACTAATGTTGGACTTATGGGCTTGGACTGGACTGGGTTGGGATGCTTAATGTACAATGACCCTTTATATAAAACTCTCTCTTACAAAATATGTTTATGAATTTTGTTTCTCTAGTGTGGGGGGAAGTCAGATACTTGCTGTCAGACTGCTGTCTCATCCCACCAAGGGGGTGGGCCTGCTCCCTGCTGCTGGAGACAATGGACTACTCTCTGAAGCTTGGGACCATTAGTTTGGTTCCTGAGGGCGGAGTTCGCACCCTACTGATAATGTTCCTATGGAGACCCAGAGACCACCCCCTAGACCACCCTCTCATTGCTGTGTAGCCTATAGTGCAGCCCCTTCCTGTGACGGATGTCTCTACCTGTAATTAGTGGGCTGGCTTGCCCCCAAAAGGTATATAGGCATGGGTCAGCAATATAGGCAAAAACTTCTCGGACTTCTCTCTCGGGCTCTGACCTCCCTGACTCTTCCCCCTCTCCCTTGTTCCCTTTCCCTCCTTCCCTTCCCCCTCTCTCCACGTGGACCACCAAGCTGGGCTGAGGTGAGCAATGTTGCTATGTATCATGCCTGACTGTATTATTGTATTATCTCTCATGCTCTCGATGACTTTAATATAATGCTTATATATCTCAACCGTACAATTGTGCATTACTGAACCCTGAAGTAGTATTACTGAATCCGAGTAGAAGTAGTAGTAATAGTAGTAGCTGGGGTAGAAGTAGTAGCAATAGTAGTATTAGCGGTGGGGGCTGGCACCCCACCTCCCTCTGCGTCATTATTTTTTAAATTTAATACTACACTCTAGTCTACCCAGACTAATACCAGCCATGTCGACATTTTTCGGCGTTAGAGGAAAATGAAAAGAATCATATTCTGTGACAAGTGAAATGTCTGACACTCAAACCTCCGTGTCTATAAAAAGAGTCTCAAGGGGCCCTGGTGGCAGAGTGGGTTAAGGGTCGGGTGGAGTGTTCAAACCCACGAGCCAGGCTGCGGGAGGAAAACGAGGCTGTCTGTCCCTGGAAAGATGTCAAAGTTGGAAACAGAGACCCTACAGAGCAGCCCCGCTCTGCCCAATGGGGTCACCGGGAGTGTGACTGGCTGGGTGACCGTGGTTTAAGGGCAGTTTCATGGGAACACAGCCACATCCATTCGTGTGCCTGTTTGACCCACCTGCTCTTCCAGCAGTCTACTGCTGGCCACAGAGACCACATGGCTTCTGAAACCCAACGCCTTTAGTATCTGTCTCTTCCCGGAAAAAGCCTGTCTACCCATTGGCCTTCACCCTCTTATTGGCAGATTCCTTCTGAGCATTATCTCACACGGTGTCATTTTTATACAATATCTATGAAGGGCTTTAAAAAGCTTGTGGGGCAGGGGGAGGAGGGGCAGGGGAGCTAGTCTGCCTGTTAATCTCAGTCCCACATCCTCCCAACATCACAGAGCCCCCAGGGGGAAACTGGAAGCGCAGCACACAGGAGTCCTGTCCCAGGCAGGGCCAGAGGCTGCTGGACTGGAACCTCCCTTTCCACTTCCTGTCACCAGTGGAAAAGGCAGTGGGGAGGGGCAGGCAGAGGAGGAGGGCAAGGCTCTCCTGGAGCAGAAGGAACCAGCGGGTGCATCCCCGGAAGCTCTGGCCACCGCCTGACCGCAGTAGTGCTGTCCGCCCACCCGCCCAGGCAGGTCCCTTGGCCATCTGCCCCCCCACACTGCAGGCTACCCCCCCTCCTGGGCATTCCCTGGTCAAGGAGGGCAAGAGCAAACGCCTGGGCGGGCAGGGCCTGGACACTAACAGCTGGGCCACAGGAGCAAGCCCTGGCCGATGGGGCACACCTGCTGGCTAAATGGCACAGCCCAGGACAGAGCTGGGGAAGGGGTTGGTCTAGAGGCAGGATCAGGACCAGGTCCCTCCTGTCCCTGCCCCCACAGGGTCGAAGACCTGGCGGAAAGCCTATTCCTGAGGGGAGACGCTCCTGGCCAACCAAAGACCCAGCCATACCCCAACACCCACACCCACTGAGAAGGACCCCAGGGTCTACTCTCAGCTCCTCACAAGAGTAAAAGACGACTGTCCAGCCCCACTGGAGGAGGGGCGGCAAGGAAGGGGGCACCCCTCCCCTCCCGAGGCCCATCTTCCTAGTTCCTGTCCCTTCCTAGGCTCAGAAGGCAAATCTGCCCTTCCGACTTTTGTCCTGGGGGAGAGGGGGCAAAGGTCAACTTCCCGTGTGGGCTTTCCGCTGGGGCATGGGAGCAGGGAGGAAGTTGTTCCCTGCGCCTTACAGGGCAGGTGTTCCGATGGCAGGACCCCGCTGCCCAGTCACAGCCCCTCCTCTCTGGGTGACTGCACGGTTGGTGGTGCGGTGACAGGAGCCCCGAGGTCGGGGGCAGGTAGGGTCCCGGCTTTTCCTCCTGGACTCGGGTACAGGCCCACTAGGAACCAAGACCCTGCTCTCTCCCTCACCAGCAGACCGATACCACTGTCACAGGGGGCCCCACTCGCTGGCCCCGAACTCATGCGTCAGCCCACAGGTCAGGAGGCCCCCCGCTGAGAGTCCCTTCTGCTCAGGGCCTGTTTCCTCATCTGTGAAAACCAGCCGAGGGGCCACCTGCTGCCACGTGCTCTTGAGGCTCCTGACCAGCTGGAGGAACCCAGCAAACTCTGCTGCTGACAGCAAGTGGGGACAGGGAAGCCCAGGGCTTCTTCCACTGTCCCTCTGGCCCCAACGATGCCCAAGTGTCCCTTCAGGTCTGGACACGAAACACACACACACACACACACACACAACTGCCATCCAAACAAAGATTGCTCTAGGAGGGGAGCGCTAACTCAGGAGTTAGCTCAGGAGGTGCACACATCCAAGAATAATCAACCATGTGGGCTCAAAGGGCAGCATTTACCGAAGGCCCAAAGCCAGCAAGGTCAGGAGAGGAGGAGGAGGAGGAGAGGAACCGGAAGCTCTGGGAGGAAGTGGGCTGTGTGGGGTTGACACTGAGGAAACAGCAATCCAGGGGCATGCTGGACGGGACCCTCACCCAACTCACCATAAAAAAATCAAAACATAGAAAATGAGGGAGGGCCAGCTGACCTGGCGGGGGCTGGGTGGGGTTGCCCATCAGGCTAAACATAAGCGACATGCACGGACCACCCTTCCCAAGCAGGGTTCTTCACTCAGGGCACAACCACGGATCCCTCCAGGATGCCCACGAGAAACCCTAACCACCACCCTCACTGCCCCGCCAGTCCCCACTCACAGCGACCCCATACAGGGTTTCCGGGGCTGTTCTTCTCTGAGGGAGCAGCCAGCCTCACCTTTCCCCGGAGGAGCAGCCAGTGGGTTTGAACCGAGGACCCCGAAGTTGGCCTGCACGTAGCCAGCAGTGCCACCAGGGTTCCGACGCTGATAGCGGTCCCCGCCCCCTCCACCACAAAGGAAGTCGGCAGCCTTTAACCCCCACTTGACAGAGAAGACAGAGAGGTTCAGAAGGTACATGCTTCCCAAGCAGAGCTTTCCTCACTCAACAGCGGAGGCAGGGGACGTGGGGACAAAGTCACAGCCTAACAGGCCTCCTGCTGAGCGGGCTTGGAGCAGGGCAACCCCATACCAGTTCTCCTTGTTCAGGGATAAACATTAAAAGTGCTCCCTTTTGGGAATCCAGGACAGATGAATCCTAAAGACCAGTGGTGAGCGTGGTGATACCGGGAGGGTGGAGGGAAAGTGAGGTGGAAAGGGGGCTTCAATTATAAGGATCTACATATAACCCCCTCCCTGGGGGACGGACAACAGAAAAGTAGGTGAAGGGAGACCTCAGACAGTATAAGACATGACAAAGTAATAATAACTTATAAATTATCAAGGGTTCATGAGGGAAGGGGGAGCAGGGAGGAAGGAGACAAAATGAGGAGCTGATACCAGGGACTCAAGCCGAAAGCAAATGTTTTGAGAATGATGATGGCAACAAATGTACAAATGTGCTTGACACAATGGATGGATGGATTGTGATGAGTTGTACGAACCCCCAATAAAATGATTTAAAAAGTAAAATAAAATAAAGCGAAACGTTGAAAAAAAAATTG